AATTGTAGTCATAATTTCAGTTTGCTCGTCAGTAGCAGTTTTCTTTGCTAATTCATCTACTTTTTCATTTCTGCGATACCTGTATGTGATGGTACCCATAGAAATGTAACGTTCACGTGTCTGTTTTGTAGGTGATAAAGTGCTAATTGTATTTGTTGCAGGATAGCATGTACTGGATATATTTGCCTTAAGCTCTGAAGAACAGATAAAGAGTCAGTAATGATAAGAAAATCTGAGCTTGCATGACTCTTACACATGTCTAAAGCCTTTAAAATGGCGATTGCTTCTCCGTGAAAATGCTGCAGAATTGAGGATGCGAACTGCATATTCAGACTTTCCTAGAATAAAGGCCGCTGCGTGTCCGTTTTCAGTTCTTGTCTGCATCGGTAAAATCTTGTTATGGCCAGTGTATTCTAATATCCGTTCTTGATATAATTTGTTAATGATTATGGGATTTGAAAACGTGTGTTAAATTTCGTTAATATCAGTTTAATATATAATAATAATTTTGCAATCCAAGGTCCGCAAAAAAATACATATTTGCAAAATTTTGCTGGGCTTTATCGGATTCCATTTCAATTTGAACTACCACAGGTGTTCCTGATGTCAGTTAAATAACTCCAAACATGTGTAAAACATTGGTGGAATTCTGACACAAAGGAAATGCAATCGTCTACTTTCACACTTCTTCTTCTTCTACTTCTTGAAGATCTTTCGATCTGTTTAATTCTGAAGCTGCCTCTGGTTAATTTCCTGGAAGGTAGATTGCCAACTATCCCTCCATCTTTTAGGTGGTCTTCCGGGAGGTCTTGAACCGGTCGGGTTGTTTTCTAGTGCAATTTTTGGGAGTCTATTCTCATCCATTCGTCTTACATGATTGTACCATATCCTCTTACGCTGCCTTCCCCATCTTACAATATCTTGAATTTTGCACTGCTTTCCAACGTTTGTATTTCTCACCCTGTCTCTTCTTGTTTTCCCCACTATTGTTGTTAGGGTTTTCATTTCGACAACCTAATTTTACTATCTGTGCGCATATACGGATTTGATCAGACTATCTCCCGCAGACATCCTGACAATGCGGATGCTTTGTTTATCTGACCCCTTAGCTTGATGCTCACTCTGGATACTTATAAATTTTACGTTCAGAACTCGAGACTTTATTTACTACTTCTGAACTTATAGCCTTTGCTAACTCCATGCTTAATGCAATTTTAACCGCTTTCCCATACGTTAAGTCTTCCTCTGATAAGAGTTTCCTTCTAATCGCCTCAGATTTTAGTCCGCAGATTTGTCCCTAAGTGCCTCTGTCAAGAATGTACCAAATTCAGCATACTTTGACATCTTCTTTAGTTTTGTCATAAAATAAGTGAGATCTTCTGAATTGTCTTGCGAACAATTATAAAACTTATATCCCTCCGAAATAACTAATCTTTTTGGGCTGTAATGATTTTTTAATGTCTTCTCCAATTCGGCATACTTTTAGGTACTTGGTGTTTCAGGTGCCAATAGATTCTTTATTACCCCATATGCTTCTTCATTCAATTAAATTTTAAGTCACAAATAAGGCAAAATTTTCCTTGATTTCGTTGCACAGCAATAACTGTTCCATTCTCTCAAAGTAACTACTAATATCGTCTTATTTGGGCTTAAAAGCTTCGATTGATCTAATTAAAGCCATTTGGTTGATTTTGTTTCACTTTTTTGCTCGAGCACGTGCACAAAGACGGTTGAAGACTACACAAAAATCAGACTTGCAACAACTACACTTTGGGATTATTCTCTTCTTATCCCATCCTCGTCGTCAATGTGTTATGTATTGTAGTAGTGATACTCAGACACAGTCATTTTAACTTAGCGTTTATTCTAAATCTCAGATGACTAACCATAACAATTATGGTCGGTGGCATGGATCACCCACCTTGATCCAGCACCAACATGTTAACTATCAAAACTACTTGACCCTGTCTCCAGTTCCGTTCACGGTTATATACTAGTGTTAGGGTTCTTATCCATATACAATAAAAATAAGAATTCAATCTTTCTGTTTTCATCAGAGATAAACCTCTTGAACTTAGAAATTTTTCCAACTAAAGTTTTTTCGATGGACAACATGACAAGTTTTTCTCCCGGCATTTTATTTCTTAGTAACGTCTTGATCAATTTCAAAGCTGAAAATCAACTTTTGTTTTCTGCAGCGGTCACTTGCATAAGCTTGTTGGTAAAATAAGCAAAATTTTATTTACACATAATTAAAAAGAATCTGTGACTTGTTCAAGTGTTAAAATAATAGTAAAACTTATCTTTAACTTTAGTTGCACGATGGACCAGACGAGAATTCGCCTTCGCTTGGAAGATTTTGTGGAAATAATTTACCTCATGCATTTATTTCACAAGGTAATGAATTGACGATTGTGTCAGCGTCAACCGGTGGTGAAAACAAAGGATGGTCTCTTGAATACGTTACTGGTAAGTTTTATTAAAACGCTCCACATCGATTACAGTATTTGCGGTCGTTGGTATTGCTACTTTCTACCCCGCAAAACAGCATTTCCAGGATGATGCCTCATTAAGTTCCCAATGATGGTACCCTTCAGAGAGATCAAATACAGATAAATTGTTCGATATCTTCACATTTAGTTGACAGCCAGTTTCCTTTAGCTTTTCCGCATTTTTTCCTAATAATTTTTAATTTTATTGAGCTTCTTGTATTCCTGATATCACGTCTAATTCATTAGCTCTATAACTTTTTTTTCTTGTTATTTTTCGTAAATACGATGGCTTCTTCTTAGATCTTGGTTACTTTTGTTTTAAAGCATTCCGTCTTTCTTCAATATCTAAATTTCATACTAGGTATGCTATTATTAATTTATATTTTTTCCCGACCATGAGACTTATCTTTCTTCTTTTGATTTTTTACTTGATAAAATGCATTTTTTTGTCCCTTTTTCTCTTTTGACAATCAGAAATTACTTGAGATATGTATTGTTTATTACAATTGAACTGTGGTCGCTATATGTTTGCATTAGTGTAGGTTTTTATAGATTTTATATACTTCTTAAACTTCAGGTCATGTGGAATGAATTAAATTTAATTCCTGGCGATTCATTCTTATCCTTCACATCTTTTTTTTTTTTTTTTATTTAAAATTAACGTGTGACAGCTTATGGTCATTGACACGGGTACAGTAGTTTACAACATTATACATATTTTATATAGGTATAGGTACAAGAATTTAATATGAACATTTTTTTTTTTATATATATATAGAATGGTTAGAACCATAAAGCTTATCACTATGCACTGTTTATATTAGCTGAAATAAACTTGTTTCTTTTAAAAATCTAAGAACACTGTCAAAACGGTTTGGAACACTGAGAATGTCTTTTAGATTTCCTTTTAGGCTGTGCTTGTTTCTGGAAGAGTCATACTGGCAGCAGTCCACTATCACGTGTTTGATGGAAAGGACGTTATTACAGTAGTGGCATACTGGAGGGTTTTCTGATGCCATAAGGTATCCATGAGTGAGACGTGTATGCCCTATTCGTAGTCGGTGAATAACTGATTTTTCTTTCCTGTTCATAGAGGAGATATTGACGCGAGATAAGTTGGGCTGAACTTCATGGAGCTTAGTTTTTGTTTTACTCCACAGGTCCGCCCATGAGCTGAGGATTTTTTGTTTTATCAATATTTTAAGATCCGTATGGATTTGGACCTCTTGGAAGGCTATGTCAGAAGAACATGCTGCTTTAGCGGCTTGGTCTGCTTTTTGGTTTCCCAATATACCAACATGAGATGGAGTCCAGATCATTATGACCTTTATGTTAGCAGAATATAGTTGGTTACAGATAGTGTGGATTTCCTGGACTAGTGGGTTTTTCGAGAAAATGCATCTTATTGAATAAATTGAGGAAAGAGAATCAGTGCAAATGGCGATTGTTATGCTTTCATTTGAAGTAGGACGGATTGAAGTCTTTAATGCTTGGAGTATTCCATATAATTCTGCGGTATAGATACTACAACTTTTAGGCAATCGCACAGAGCTTATTGTCGTCGTCAGTGTGGACACAGCGGAGCCACAACAGTCTTCATTCTTGGACGCATCGGTGTATAAAATTTCATCAAATTGTGTTAAGTTAAGGATTTTTTGGAAGGATTTTCTAAGGATTAAGTTTGGGGTTTCTGTTTTGTCGAATCTGCATAAATCTGTATTGAATATTGGAAGATTGTGCATCCATGGAGCTGTCTTGGGGGTATAAATAGAAGTAGTATTGGAGAGGTTGATGGAATCTAATAAAGGAGATAATATTTGTGGTAATGTGAGAGACTGATTGGAAGCGTATACTGGGGGAGGTTCTATGGGATTGATTAGATTTATTACCGGGTTACTTGGGTTTGCTGATATTCTTACAAAGTATGAAAGTAGAAGCTGCTGCCTTCTTAGATGGAGTGGTGGCTCTGAAGATTCAACGCACAGACTTTCAGCGGGGCTTGATTTGAAAACACCGAGGCATAGTCGTAGGGATGTATTTTGAATCGTGTTTAGAGACTTTAGTAGGGAGCTACTAGATGTCATATAAAGAATACTGCCATAATCTAGCTTAGAGCGAATTAACGCTCTATATATTTTAAGAAGAGATTCTTCGTCAGCTCCCAAGAGAAGCTAGCAAGAGATTTAAGTAAATTGATTCTTTGGGTACAGTTTCCTTTAAGTTTCTGAATATGCTGTCTCCAGATAAGCTTTTTATCAAAGGTGATACCAAGAAGTGTTAAATAATTAACTGTTTGTAAACGAAGTCCTTCACATCTCTAAATAGTTATAAATAACCATAATTTACTTATATATTAAAAAAGTAGTAAGCCTAAAGTTTGTTTTATTAGTTTGTAGCAAAGTCCTTACAGACGAAAGTGGATCTTTGAACGTACTTCCAAACAGTTACGACATATTTGATTGTATTTATCAGATCCAAAGACCTCCTGGCAACGTTATAATACTTTTTATGAAGGTTATGTTGCCATCACGTATATACATACGAGATACAACCTCGCGGTACTCCAAGTTTGTTGAGGTAAGTTGTTCTTTGTTATAACTCAAATTTTTAGCGTACTAAAATTACATATGAACTATTTGATATTGTACCGTTTTCAAATAAAACAAGCGCTTATCGACTAAACTTAGCTAATATCGGAGCTACTTATATATAAAAGTTATTATGTACTAGAATATTCTGGAATAGTCTATCTCTATTCTTCTCATCGAAAGCGCATCGAACACGGGCGCTATTAAAATGTCAACTCCTAAGTATTCTAGATTTATCCTTCTAAGAATTGTGACACATACCACAAATCGGAGGCTATTTCGTTACAATATGTTATTCGACCAAACATATTACCCTAACATGTAATAAACTCCACTCGCTCTTTTATTTTTAATTGGTTGATGGTTATTTTCAGTGTATCCATTGTTGGTTTTATTGGTTATCCATATATTATTCTTCTTCTTTTGGCATCATAACCCTGGATGGGTCTTTGCCTGTCTGGCTATGTCCTTCCATTCAAATCTCTCTTGTGCCCTTCTTCATCATCCAACCATCTCGTTCTGGGCCTTCCTTTTTTTCGCCTTCCTATGGGCTTCCATTGTAACATTTTCTTTGTTGTTTTTGCATCGTTTTGTCTCTGCACATGTCCCAGCCATGACAGTCTTTGACTTTTCACAAATCTTACAATGTCATAACCTTCATTTAACTCATTAACCTCGTCGTTTCTCCTGATTCTCCATGTGCCATCTTCCTCTTGTACCGGGCCATATACTTTACTCAGTATTTTTCTCTCGAATGTCCTGAGTTGGGCTTCATCGTTTTTCGTCATTACCCAAGTTTCACATCCATAGGTTACTACTGGTCTAATCAATGTTCTGTAGTTCTATATGTAGATCCAGATATTATTACATTGTCTATTTCTTCTATATTGTATTATTCGTGTTGATATTCTTCTAAAGATAACAGGAGCCTTCAAAATAGTAAAAAAAAACGGCACCTTTAGAGGATGTCACAGGTCTCTCCCGCTCAGATATGACACCAGAACTAATCTTCACTGAGAATATTAACACAATAAAATTATACTATCCATAGAATACAAAGTCCCAAATATTACTGATGACTTAATATGGTTCACTGATGGTAAACTGTGCAAAGTACCAGATGAGACGTCTTTGGACAAGCATGTTATTACAACAAATCTTACAGCCTAGGTCAATATACAATTGCGTACAAATGACTGAAGTTTTTGCTTTGGTTGTCTACATTAATGAAATCATGAATGGAGACCTCAAAGCAAAGATAATCAACATTTATGCAGATAGCTAAGCAGTTATTACGACACGACACTGTACTAGTTGCAAGAACAGTAGAAGAATTACAAAGATTACTTACAGACATAAATATTGCTTGCAACAATTATGGTATAAATATCAATATTAAAAAAACCAAGTATATGGTCTTCAGTAAAAACATGACACAACCAGCGTATATTAGTATAAACGGCACTCAAGTTGAAAAACTATCAAGTTACAAATACTTGGGAACTTTAATAAACGAAACTGGAGACCAAAACAGTGAAATAAAAAGACGTATCGAAATTGCCAGGGCCACCTTCATAAAGATGAGAAAATTCTTCTGCAACAGAAATATAAGCATCCCTCTACGATTAAGAATGCTGAGAGGCTATGTATTTAACACGCTATTATACGGTGTAGAGGCCTGGACTCTCAAACAGAACAACATGAAAAATATTGAAAGTTTCGAGATGTGGTGCTACCGTCGAATGCTGAAGATTAGTTGGGTTGAAAGAATAACAAACTGTGAAGTAATACGAAGAATAGGAAAAGACCCAGAGATTTTGTTAACGCTAAAGCGAAGAAAACTCGAATATTTTGGTCACCTGATGAGAGGACATAAATACGCATTACTTCAAAATATAATGCAGGGAAAAATAGAAGGAAAACGGAATCCAGGCCGTAGAAGAATGTCATGGTTGCGGAATTTGAGAGAGTGGTTTGGCTGCACCACTAATGAACTCTTTAGGTCAGCCGTAAACAAGGTCAGAATAGCCTTGATGATTTCCAATCTCCGATAGGAGTGGCACAAAAAGAAAAAGAAGAAGAAGCAGTTATTCTGGCCATAAATAATCCGCTCACTAAATTAAAACTGGTGAGAAACTGCAAAGATCTACTCAACAATCTGGGAAAAGACATGTATAAGCCTGATGAAAGGTGTAATAAATAAAACAAATACTATATTGAGTAATTATGTAAGCAACAAGTATATTAACTTTATATGCCAGTAACCTAGCTTAACAACCTTGTCTAATCTCATAATCCCTCTCACCTCCTGTCATGCTATCTTATTACCAATATGAATAATATGATTGTCACTTAACTGGGTATCATACAGTCTCCTTCTTCCTCAGTTTTCCTCTTTTCAGGGGTCGCTTTTCCTTCCTCTTCGTCGCCACTGATTTCTATCCAACGGGTCTTCTTCACTGAGACCTGAGAGACTTTCTCTCTCAAGTCTTCTGATAAACTATATTAACTAACTGATTCCTTTTGCATGTCTTCTTCAAATATTTGGGCTCCAATATTTGTTTGGTTGAAAGTTGTAAAACCTTTATAATAAAAATAAAAACTGGAATAGTTATTTCTGCCTGAAAAGTGTTTTATGTTTTAATTGAAACGGCATTTTAGGTACGAGATGGTGACAATGAAAACTCAACTTTAATAGGTAAATACACTGGTATTACAAATGTAAATCTCACTTCAACACACAATTTTCTCTGGATAAGAGTACGGAATTTCAGAAGATTTACCGACAGGAACAATCAAGTTTCTTTACAATACACCTCATTGAATGTGGGTAAGTACACCAAAAGGGAAATAGATATATAAACTGTACGGATTGCACCACCGAGCATGGCAATCTCCTCGAACTTGTCATAAGATCGCCAACATAAAGAATCAGTCTGCCCAGACGCCCAATATCGCATAAACTAAGTCCAAGATAGCACATAAATCGTTCTACTACTATCAACTACTTTATTGTACATCCAGTTTCATAATCTGCGCAATCATTCAACGTACCCAATCATCCTAAGGTTTTGGTGTAAGTTCATTTAAAGATAACTCACATACTGCCCTATTAATCACATTCATTGTGGAGTCAGTTCTAGTTCTTTTTTATTTTTCCACTATCTATACTATCGTCTTGTTCATATCTGTTTTCAGTTCATCTCTATAGCCCCGTTAAATCATCGGCGCGAACCACGTGCTGTATCTTAGCTGCTTCCGCATGTGCAACAGCTCATCACAGTAGATGTTCTACAAGATTCATCTCAAGACTAATCTGGAACGTCGGCTATTATGTGAAAACTCTCCTCCTCGGTTAACTTTAGTGCCTTTCCTTAAAAAAGTATCTAGAATTGATGGAAAGAAACAAACCTAGGACAATCTGTTTATTTTTTTGTGCTTGGTGGTAGCAAACTGTCCTTAAAATAGTCCTTAGCATCGATCTTTCTTGCGATATGCAAAAAAGACTCCACTCACCCACTTCAGTGGACTTGCGATTTTAATACGAAGGTCCTATCTAACTAGGTGGTTATCCAAATCAGCGTCTAGATATATTGTAAAGATAACTTAGATTTATATCTGACGAAGTATGTCGATGCTTTCCAAAATTGTCTATGGTCTAAAATCTGTTCACTGCTTTTGTCATAGACGGTTAATAGCACCAAAAAAGCACCACTTTTACGAGATTTGTATTTTTTATAAACTCATAAAAATCTCCTGTCAGTATTGGTGTCATTAGATTGACACGATCAAATTGGAGACGAAGTGAAATAAAGATGTGGCTGCTTAGATTTCTTAAAAAGAAGAGTAAACTCTGTTAGAATATTTACTAATAATTGTTTATCTGTTCTTAGGTTGCGGCGGCATTTTGCGAAATAAATTTGGCAACATCGCTTCTCCTTCACATTCAGATGGCTACTATCCCCCATCATTAAGCTGCAAATGGACCATTATAGCTCCTCCAATGTTTGTTATTCAGCTCACATGGATGACGTTTAATATAGAGTCTAGCTATGAATGTGCGTACGATAATGTGCAAGTATTTGACAATAGTACTGATTTAGGACAAGGGGCACTGATGGGAAAATACTGTGGATTTTCCCTACCACCCATGCTGCTCAGCTCCTCCAACATAATGTCCATATTTTTCACAACTGATGTCACCGTTAGCATGGACGGATTTCTGGCATCGTATATATTCATTCATGAGAAGAACGGTAAGATTGTTTTGTTTTGTAATTTTAATGTTTTCTTCGCAGATATTTCGAGTGATTTATATTCATTTAAGTTTGTGATTTGTATTTATTTAATCAACCAAATAAAGTTGGTAATAAAATCAGATAATAACGGTATATCTTCAAAAGTGTAAAGAAAATGAAAAGTTATCAATTAAACAGGGGGTAATACTTTCTTTAATGCTGTTTGATTTATACGCAGAGAGAGCATTTAAAGCAGGAGTAACAGCAGTGAAGTAAACAACATTTATTAATAATATTAGATATACCGAAGAGACTGCGATACGGACAAATAACATCGAAGATCTACAATCTATTTTAAATGATCTAACTCTTGCAAATGAAGCTATCGGTTTCAAAACATATCAAGAATAGGAAAACCATGCTTATATGCATACATAATTACCCAAAAAGATATACATATCTGGAGAAGTAAAAGAGCAAGTTGAAGATACAAGATGCTTAAATATTACATTTGACCTGTTTTGTACTACCAGAAGAATCATAGGACCCTTAAGCTAGCAGAGACGAATGAGCGGAATCTAATTTAACCTACGTAATATTTTTTCACTCATTTTTCAGTAATTTATTACCACCCTAATAATTTTTCACCACCAAACCCACCTTAAGGGGAGCGATTCTGTTGGTTTATCAAGCTAGCAGAATTCGGAAAAAAAACTTTTCGCTTATGGCATATTTTTTCACCCATGTTTCACAAATTTATTACTACCCTAATAATTTTTCACCACCAAGCCATTCTTAATGGGAGCGATTCTGCTGGCTTAAGGTTTAAGCTATTGCGCACCTATTGTTAAAAGGTTAAAAGATTTGTATTTATTGGGTACATCCATAGACCTGAGCGGAGTGTACCGCCAATCAAGGAGTGGGGGCTGCAGTCTTAATCGGATTTTAGATTGATACCGCCCTTTTTACTATTATTTAACTTTGGCAATAAATTGCAAATATAGCGTCTCTGTGCTGTCCTTGAGTGTGTTTTATACTGAGTACAATAGCTTTTGAGTAATTTTTAATAGTAAACACCAGTGTACATTCATCTACGCACGATCAGGTCTATAGTTGATTTATTTTTATATACCGGACAAAAATTTTACGACTTTACACCCCCAAAATTAGAGCGCAAAGTGTAGAATTTATGCCCAATATGTTAGGTGAAAAATATGAAGATAGCAAAAAATAGTAAAAAGTTGAAGTAAAAGTACAATACAAAAAAATATTAAAAATGCCTTTTATAATTTGTTATGTTAGTTGAAAATTCAACCTAGCAGAATTATTGGTTTCTTATAGAGGGGTTAAACAATTGTAAAGGTGGTAAATGAGTTCGAAAAGTTGGAAAAACAAGTTTTTTTAGTTTAACCTAAGCTACCACGGGTTAGTTGAGAGGAGAAAAATTAGTAAACATTGAGCGGAATTAGTAAAAATCGAGATGAAAAAGAATTGGTGGATATTATTTCTTTAGGACTTTCTTCTCTGAAATATTACATTAATTTATTTTAGTTTGCGGTGGAAACTACTTCACTACATCTGGAGTCATTAAATCACCTAAATATCCTGAGCCATATCCAACAAACAGAGAATGTACATGGACCATCAATATACCGCCCGGTCAACAAATATTGCTAAATATTACTGACTTCAATATTGAATATTATTCAAGCTGTCGATATGACTGGCTGGAAATAAGGTAAGATTCACTTTTATATATAACTTTCACACTATAATTTGAAATTATATTGTAACGAAGAACTTATCTTCGACATATCCCGTAAAATGTTTCACAATTCAGCAGAAAGTGACACCATTTTAAGACAGTGAAAATGATAATTTTTATTTAAAAAAATATCGTGACATGATGATCTCCAGAGTACTGGAAGTTTGAAGATAACGTGGCTTTTGAAAACACTTTTTAAAAGTAGTTCGGTAGTGATTTTTGTGTAAGAAAAAACATTTGAAAAATACGTGTGTTCCTGACCAAAGATGCTTTTCGTAAAACTGACAGGAAAGCAATTGCGTCAACTAGAAGAACGGGATGAAGATTGCAGCGTATGCAAGAAGATCCTTCAAGAACGACTAAAAGGTGTCTTCAATACGAATGTAGATTACCCAGAGACATTCCAGTTTCAGTTAGCAGAAGAAGCAATTTTAACAAAAATATTTTATAGAAAATTAGAAATTGTTGCTCAAATGATTGAAGAAACTATTTTAATAGAAGAATAAATTTAAAAATGTTTCTAGAAGATTCAACAACACTTCTGAAATAATTAAAGGTAATGGATTTTGACAAGAGCTATGAGTGCCGATTTAGTACACAAGTTTACCTGTTATTTACAAGGTCATAGCTCATGTCAAAATCCATTAGCTATAAAAAAATATGTAGACAGAACAATGGGATATTTGAAGAAGTTTCTAGAACATACGATAAGGTACAGAAAAATGTTGACGATGTATAAGAAAACATCAAACAATTAGAGAGAATGATAACCTAGCATCAATTAATGTAGAAGTTTCAGATCCTTTAGTAAAAGAAGAATCATCGAGAGACGAAACGACACATCATATGAGAGTCAAATTGCCACCATTTGATGAAAAATCTTCTTGGTCCATAAACTTTAAACAATTTCAAGGTATTGCTACAGCCAATCATTGGACAGAACAAGAAAAAGCTGTTTCCTTGACTGCTGCTTTACGAGGTGATGCTGCGGATATCCTAAGATCGATTCCTAAGGGTCAAGAAAAATGTTACCAGACCTTGTTCACTCGACTAGATAAACGTTACAGAGATGCCCATCTACAACAAGTCTACAAGGTACAAATAAGAAGTAGAATTCAACGAGCAAGTGAGAGTTTGCAAGAATTTGAAGCGGATGTTGCTCGTATAGCGCTGTTGGCTTATCCAGAGGCACCAGACAACATATTGGAAGAAATTGCTGTAGATACCTAGGTATTAGTCTAGTCTAAGAACGAAAGTCTTAGAAGAAGCACTCGCTATTGATAGGTAGAAGAAGAATTCTTGTAAGAATATTCCACTACATCATAATAGCCGCAGCATCAGATGCAGCAACAAAAACATAGGAGATTTCTAGAGAAAGCTGTGTATATAAGACGACTTCGACAGTTTCTTTACAAGTGATAGCAGCAATTCACCTACTAGTGAGGGAAAGAACAATCACTTGGCATAAGTGAAAACGACAAAGCATACGAGAGAGGGAAACACGAAATGGCTAGAGAGTGAGAAAACAAAGATGGATATTGAATGGATAATAACATCCTACAAAGGGAACCAGATCAGGCATAAATGCTAAAGGGGAAAAATGAGAAGAAAAGGTAGCCGCACACGAGGGAAATGCACTCAGACTCAACTGGTACAATCTTTAGAAGATTTTACATCCTTAAGAAAAAAATCTTAAATGCAGTGTTGCAAAGTCGTAATAAAAATACGAAAGAAACGAAAAGTGTTTTACTGTAAAATGTTAATTACATTTTAAAAGTATTCTAGAATAATGGTCTTATTCGTCTTAAGATTGCTTAATTAGTAAGAAGGACTAATTCGTTTGATTGGTTGTTACTTTCAGAATTTCCTATATATGTCGTTTATTTTACAGAAATGGTGGTACTTCAGCTTCTCCCTTAATCGGCAAGTTTTGCGGAACTACAATTCCTAAACAGATCGCTTCACATGCAAATAAGTTATATCTATTTTTCAAGTCAGATCTGAGCAGGACTGGTCACGGTTTTAGAATTTCATGGAGCTCCACAGCAACAGGTAACATTTCGTATTTTTTACTATTTTTATAAGTAAGTATTTACTCTTTCATTCAGAGCAGTCTGTTCCGCGATTGTCTTCGAGTACTAACTGTTGTTGATATAATGAGTCCTTTTAAAAATGGTGGAATGAAATTTTAGTATATTTATCATCTGCCGTACTTTACACTAACTGTTACAATTTTGAGAGTGTCATTACAAATTCTTAGTCTTCTTGTATGATTCTTCTTTAATATAACTATGGTATAGCCTAGTTTCATATAAACAGTTAGGAGAGATCACTCGCAAAGCTTGATGATCATTTTACAAAAATACATTTATGAAATTTCGCGAATCGTTCTCTGATAAAATGTATTTGTACTTAAACATGTTTCCAACTTATAGGATGTGGAGGATTGCTAACGTCACCTACAGGATCCTTGATATCACCACATTATCCTGAGCCATATGCTAGAAATACTGAGTGTATTTGGAAAATCGTGACTAGTGCTGGCTCCCGTTTACAAGCTGTTTTCTCCGACATTAATCTAGAAAAGCACATGCAGTGCCTAGCTGACTATGTACAGGTAAAAATGAAAGATTTTTTTCAACTATTCAAGACAGTTATTTTAATAATATATTTTGAAAATTTTTCCAAGATACTGGAAAATTTATCTGTATTAAATATATAGTTATTTGCAGTCACATTTTACAATAATTTTAAGATACATGATATTATATCGCATACCATAAGGTAGCTATGTTGTTATATCAGTGGCGTTCCAAAATTTTTTAAATGTAAACTACGTATTTTATGGTTTCTACAGAAGCATCATAGAGTGTGGCAGCATTTATGCTTCTCAGTGAATTATTACAAATTACAGTTGGTTATTGTTTGAGTTTAACCATCATTTTTATATCAGCTTAAACAGAAGAATTTTCTATTGCCAGGGATGTTTTTATTTCGTCATAAAGTGTATCAGAGACTCCATATTTTGGATTATCTACAGATTGCAAGGTCAATCTTTTTATTTTATTTACATCTATTTACGGCGATTCACTCCCACTGCTGCTCTGCTGCTTCCAAGATGTCAATCGATGATCGGGAATAATCAAAACAACTTCAATGATAATGCCTGTAAACAGAACATACATCTAGCTTGCACTATTCTACGAGCCGAAGATCGCGTTACGAGACATAAGCTACGTGGAATTAAAATTGTTTGCAACAACTGCTGCTCTAATATCAAAAGTTTTGCTAATTTAAAGATGCTCTTAAGAGATCTAAAAGAGGATCTTCAATCAAAAATTGATCTAATAGATCAATGAAGCTAATGAAGCAGTTGATCGCATTAACTGGGCTAAGAATATTTAACGTGGTTCTTACACGTTGTTAATTTCTGCAAAAACCAAAATACCTTAAAAAAACCATATACAAAAATAAGATAAAACCTTGGATTAATGGGGAATTAATGTATCTGATCAAGTATAAAAGAAAGTTGTGGAACAAATATAGACGTACAAATCGCATACAGGATTTACTAGCTCATCGAGACTTTGCCAAAGATTTAGAGAAATCTCTACATGAAGCTCGTGTTGCCTACGAAGAGAGTATACCCAATAATAATAATAACTGTAAAACATTGTACAAGTATATTAGATCTTCGTTGACAACAAAAGTTTCTATACCTTTACTGGAAAATGATAATGGGATATATCCCAAACTAACCATAAGAATGCCGAAGTCCTCGCCAGTACTTTCTCTAAGGTTTTCTCTATCAAACACACTCATCATCAGTTGCCTAATATTACTTCGTCACGAGTTTCTTCTTTCCTTGAAAATATAATCATTACTCCTGAAAAGTTAAACATCGTCTTCAAAACCTAAAAATAATCTCCTGGTCTCGACTTAATATCTTCTTTATTTCTTAAGAAATGTTCTGATGCTTTAGCTTACCCACTATATGTGATTATGTCCTTATCATTCACCATACATATTTTGCCTCCTATATGGAAAACCGCATCTGTAACACCGATTTTTTAAAAAGGGAACAAGTTGGATCCTAATAACTATCGTCTTATCAGCTTGACACCTATAATATCCAAGATAATTGAATCTATTATTGCCGAGACAATTTCTGATTTTCTGCAAAATGAACTGGTTATACCAGAACAAGAGCATGGTTTTGTCAAAGGACGTTCTACAATGACAAATCTCTGGTGTGTCATTGAATGGTCAAGAGCATTAGACAGAAAAGCCCCGGTAGACGTTATTAACCTCGATTTTTCTAAAGCTTTTGATCGAGTTCCAAAGCGAAGACTATTACATAAATTGGAACACCTTGGTATCCGTGTTTAATTACTGAAATGGATCGACGCGTATTTAACAGATAGAATGTTTTGTGTTAGAGTTGGGGACTCTTTCTCAGTTGAGAAAACGGTTTTAAGTGGCAACGGTTTTAAGTGGAACGCAAGGATCAGTTTTGGACCCACTTTTATTCATAGACCCAAGTGATCTACAATTTGACATTAAATGCAACAAAGCTTTCTATGCAGATGAGACGAAGCAATTTTCCGATCCCTCCGTAAATTTCCACTTACTATAAGATTACCTTGATTGCATATTGGAATGGTGCTCTATTTGGATGCTGCCTCTTAATGGCTCAGAATGCCTTCCTTTCTCCCTAATGATCTGGGTGTTATAATTAATAAGAATGTAAGTTGGTCGGAACATATTTAGCATGTTTCTACAAAAGCTAACAGTAAATTATATCTACTAAATAAAACGTTTGCGAAAGTGGAATTCGTATACTAGGATGTCTTTTGGTCGCTCAAGACCTACGTATACAGAAAGACTGAGTATGGTCAATCTCACTACATTTGAACAACATCGACTTTGAGGCAATTTAATTATTACGTTTTGGATAGTAAAATACAACTTTGGAAATGTGGGGATATGTTTATACTAGACAATGACAATCGTCTTCGTGGCCACAAACTTAAGTTTATAAAGGAAACTATTGTAACAACAATTAGACAATTTTTTCTCTGTAATCGAGTGTTCTCGATATGGAATAACCTTTCAGCTGAGATCATAGATGCTCCATCTGTCAATATTTTTAAAAATAAACTGCATGACCATTTGCTCCATAGTTGAACATTTAATTTGTACTAAACACTTGCTATTACCTATGTTTTTGTATATTTATTTAGTTAGTTAGCACTTAATATGTAACTATTGTAATGTAACAATTTAATTGCACACTATATAACATTGTATTCACATGGGCATATCGGGTTTGCGACCCCTGCTTAAATTTATTGTAAAATAAATAAAAAAATAAATAAAATCTTTAGTGCGCCACTGCTTAAATAAAATATTAATGTCTGTTCTACGAACTTTCCGTGCTTCAATTTGGATTTTTTTGTAATTTTTATTCGTTTTTTAAGTTATTTGATGGACTGACATTGAATTCAGCCTCCCTTGGAAAATTCTGCTACGAAGCTCCGGAACCAATCAAATCATCAAGCAACCAGATGTTGGTTAAATTTAGATCAGATGTTGCTTTTCAGGGAAGAGGATTTCAGCTTCATTATACAACAGGTAATATTTAAAAACAGCTTCTTTCCTACTATTTCCAGAAACTTAAACGATTTCTCAATATTTGTCATTTGATGACATCCTAGATTTGTAATTATCTATAACCCTTTATCATCTAAACCAGCCCTTTGGAGTTAATTTGGATGATAAAAATTATAAAAAAATATCATTGTTTCATCTATTTAATTTTTTAGTGTGTCACAATACTGTTAAAGGATTTAGGGGTATCATCGAAAGCCCCAACTTTCCCAACAACTTTCCCCAAGATCAAGACTGTTTATGGGAAATTGAAGTTTCCAGTAAAAACAAAATCAATATCACATTTTCTCACTTTGAACTTGAAAGGTCTCTCTCGAATCCTAGTGCAAATAATAGTTGTTTATACGACTTTGTTGAGGTTGGTAATATCAATTTAAAGTACGATCTTGACTTGCTAATGATATTTTTTTAACAGATCAGTTACGCCGAAATGAATGATGATTTCGAAGAAAAAACAGATTATACTACATATGGTAAATATTGTGGATCCCAAAATCCTGGCCACCTAAGTCTGAACTCAGATCATGTACGAGTTCGATTCGTTAGTGACAAGTTACTACTAGGAACTGGATTTAGGTTAGAGTGGGAAATATTTGGTATGTATTTTAATATTACTGCATTATTTTTAGACTTAAATCTATAAATAATTTTTATAGGTTGTGGTGGAATATTGAAAAAGAGTTCTGGTACGATAACTTCACCAAATTATCCATTTAATTACCCCCCCAACGTGATATGTGAATGGAGAATCGAAGTTGATTTCGGACAAAGTATAGAGATAGAGTTCCACGAAGTTGATGTTGAGAAAGACACTTCCTGTGACTTTGATTCAGTCTCGGTAAGTATTTGTAGAGTTCTGTGATAACGCGTAATTCTTGTTCGTCAATCATTTGAGCATAAATCTGAAGTTATTCGCAGGTTTTTATAAGCTATCTGTAAATTTAGCAGTGCTATTCTTTCCATTAATAAATAGAAATAAACAACTATCTATGAATGAGTTCATACCTTCACAAGAATAATAAACAATCGACTAACCTATAAACTTGATAACTACCAACCAGTGGAACAGGCCGGATTCAGGAAAGGATACAGCACAATCGACCATCTACATGCGCTTAAAATCTTAATTGAGAAAACCAATGAATACAACCTTCCTCTGTACTTAGCATTCGTAGATTATGAAAAGGCTTTCGACAGCATTGAACACTGGGCGGTTGAAGAAGCTCTGGTCAATAGTAGAATAGATTCAAGATACCGACAATGGATATATGATATTTACCAAAACGCAACCATGACCGTAATTCTGGACGACAAATTAATAACGGATAATATAAAAGTTAAACGAGGAGTCCGACAAGGCGATATAATTTCACCTAAACTGTTTACCTTGACCCTCGAAGACATAATAAAATTAACAGATTGGGAAAACAGAGGAATATGTATTAACGGAAAATACCTAAATCACCTTAGATATGCGGATGATATACTCCTGATCTCCTCGGAACGACAAGAACTGGAATTAATGCTGAATGAACTTCATGAAAAATCACTGCAAAAAGGCCTAAAAATTAACTTCAACAAAACAAAAGTCATGACAAACACGGAAGATCAAGAGGCAATAAAAATAAAAACAGAAAAAATAGAACAGGTAAATGAGTATATCTATCTAGGACAAGCAATCAGAGCTAACAGAGAAAATCAAACAGTCGAAATATCGAGACGAGTAAGAATGGGATGGGCAGCGTTCGGCAAACTTTCTTACGTTTTAAAAAATCAAACAATCCCTCTATACTTACAAAGCAAGGTATATAACTCCTGCATAATCCGGTGCTCACCTACGGAGCACAGACATGGACATTTACACAGGCCAATTTGGATAGGATAAGGAAGGCACAAAGAGCGATGGAGAGACAAATGTTGGGTGTATCACTTAGAGATAGAAAACGTAATCAGTGGATCAGAACCAGAACAAAGACAGTAGACGCAATAGAACAAGCAGCAAAACTGAAATGGAAATGGGCTGGACACAATGAAAGTCTCCAAGACGGACGATAGAACAATGTCATCGGAAAGTGGCGTCCATACAATGCAAAGAGATCAAGAGGCAGACCACAGATGAGGTGGAAAGATGACATCAAGAAACAAGGAGGTCCCACATGGCAGAGAACAGCTCAAGATAGGGAAAGATGGAGAGAACTGGGGGAGACCTATATCCAACAATGGAAGGATAGAGAATAGGTTAAAAAAAAATGAATGAGTGGGGTGGTATGGTCCACTGTCACAAATAGGTCCGTTTCAGGATCGACATAAGCAGTAAAGATATAAGAATTGTTTTAAACGGTAAAAGTTAAATAAAAGTTTTTAGTAGCACAAACTGCTTATTCGCAGGTTTTTATAAGCTATCTGTATATTTAGCAGTGCTATTCTTTCCACCAATAAATAGAAATAAACAACTATCTATGAATGAGTGGTAAGGTATGGTCCACTGTCACAGATTGGTCCGTTTCAGGATCGACATAAGCAGTAAAGATGTAAGAATTTTTTAAACGTTAAAAGTTTAGTAGCACAAATTGCTAGATGAAAGACAAAACCCAAACTAGATGGACTCGAAAATCTGTTAGGGGCTAGGGAAAATTAGTACTGCATCATCGATATAGCATAGTATCGTGGTTTTATGCGCTCCCATGTGATATCCGTGTCGATTTCTTACTTCGTGAATTATTTGATTCATTACCATATTGAATAACATTATTTCATCATATTATCTTTTATATTTTAGGTATATAATGGTATAGATGATACTTACAACCTGTTAGCAACTATTTGTAGACAGAAGAGAACGTCCATTTTATCCAGTACAGGAAATTATATGTTTGTTAAATTTAAGTCTGACTACAGTTACCATGGAAAAGGATTTACAGCAAATTATACAACAGTGCCAACAAGTAGGTTAACTTTTAAATACACATTTCTAACAATCGATCCATTTCAATCGATTCATCCAGATTAGGCTACACTTGTAGTGACCATATCGAATTTTTACCGTCGAACTGATCAGTGGCGCTCCCAGAATTTGTCTGAGGGGGGGTTTTGAATTTTTTTATGCTACCATCATTTTGAGTCCCTAAAATTTGGGTTTTAGTTTAATTTAAACTACTAAAGAAATACCATAGATTCAGGTATCTATTATCCTGCCTACCAACTAAAACCAACCTCTCTTACTTGTGCGCAGTTACGCAATGCTACAAGTTCATTATTCATTCTTGTTGACACTGTTATTTCCTTCTTTTATCCCAATTTTCATCTGATTAGGATTCAAAACCCTTTTTTGGGGGAGGTTCACGTGTTTTGACGGATTTGGGTGATTATGTTTCTTCAGCATCACCATCGCTTTATTCGTTGGCATATTTGTCGTCTGATATCTTCTTTGCTATAGTGTATTTTTATGTATGAGAGAGTAATAAAATAATAAATTATGTATGCAAATCCCTAAACTGTTGATACGGGTGACTCAATGAAAAACAGATATTTGTCAACAAGTTTACAGAAGTATATAGGAAAACAATTTTAAATTGAGTATGACCACCAGGTATAAAGGTTGAAGCAGAATAGAATACAATAGTTGTGAGGGTTACTAATCCCTAAATAAGGTTGCCAGTGTCGGAGTGATGGAGGTTAACAGGTACTAATGAATTTGCAAGAAATGTAAGATGTTTATTTTATTGGTTATATATAACCAATAAAAGTTTAATAAGTACCTACCTATTTGCAAAATAAAGTTTAATTCTTTAGATGAAATAAAACGTTTTATTTTATCTGAAATGAGTGCATTCCACGAAGTAAGCGTTTCAACAATCAAACATTTAATTCTTTAATTCCAGGAATCTACGACAGTAATTGACTAGATAAATACCTTCTAAACTTATTCCACAGAAAATGTGATAGTGGGTTTTTCCATTTTGTAGGAAGGTCCAAGTGGCGTACTCAAAATTCTTAACAGTTCACTAAAAGTAGGTACTTCAGTTGCAAGGTGCAGTTTATTGTGTATACTAGTGTTATGGAAAATTTGGAAGTGCCGTGTAAACGCCGAAAAATTGGTCCTTTAACAGTTAATGAAAAAACATTAATATTTAATTGTTTTAAATCATTTACAGACAAACGTTTATGTGAAAGTGTTGATGAGACCGTTGAGTTAGTTAGCAGTACACTTGGTGTTGGGAAATCTACGATTTACAGAGTTATTAAAGAAGAGAAATGTGGTAGTTTTCAAATGCCACGTAATGCTCCAGGGAAACCAAAATTTCAAATAGAATATCATTTTAAAGAAGGACTTCGACGGAAAGCGCATGAATGCTTCTTTAGACAAGAATTTCCAACATTGGATAAAGTTCTTGTCTCAGTTCGAGATGATAAGGATTACCCAGAAATGAGTCGAAGTACGTTATGGAAACTTTTAAAAGAAATAGGCTTCCGCTGGAAAAAGAATCCCAGAAAGTCTATTTTATTAGAAAGAAGCGATATTGTCATATGGAGAAGACATTTTCTAAGAACCATAAAGGAAATGAGAAACCAAAAAAGAAAAATATTTTATCTTGATGAAACATGGATCAACGAGGGTCATACACCAAATAAATTTTGGCAGGATGAAACTGTTACAAGTCAAAGGCACGCTTTTATAAATAACTTATCTACTGGTTTAAACCCACCATCAGGAAAGGGACGCAGGCTGATAATAGTACACATTGGCAGTTCAGACGGTTTTGTTGAAGGTGGTTTATTAACTTTTGAATCAACTCGTACCGGTGACTACCATGAAGACATGAACGCTGATGTCTTTCAAGAATGGTTCGAACAAATGATAGATCTTCTTCCTAAGAACTGTGTAATAGTAATGGATAATGCAAGTTATCACTCCAGACTTATAGAAGGACTGCCCACAACCAAGTGGTTAAAAAAGACTTGCAGAATTGGCTGAGTTCAAAAAATATAACGTACCATCCCGGAACTATAAGAAAGGAACTTTATTCGTTGTGTGCCCTTCATAAAGAAAAATTTAAAAAATACGAAATTGATGAAATTGCCAAAAATCGTGGAATGACAGTACTTAGATCCCCACCATATCATTGTGAATTAAACCCGATTGAACTGGTATGGGCACAGATAAAGAGTGAAGTTTCAAGAAAAAATACCACTTTTAAAATTCATGATGTTAAACAGTTGTTTTTGGAGGCCGTAAATAATGTAAAACCTGAAAACTGGGAAAAGGCAGTAAATCACACTATTAAAGAAGAGGAAAAAATGTGGAAGCTGGACAATATTACTGATAAAATGATCGAGCCAGTTATTATAAATCTTGGTTCTGAAAGTTCATCTTCTGAATCTGATTTGGATTTGTAACAAGTAGCTGTAAGTTTTATATTAATATTTTTATTCATCTATTTAACATACCTTAGACGGTTTTAAAAACTCTTTTTCTCTTTTGTAATTTTTAAAAATTAAAAAAAATGTGAATTTTTTAAAACCCTTTTTAATGTAGGCCAGTCAGTTCTAATATAGTGTGTGATAAAAGAGGTCACTTTTCTTTACATACACATAACACTTTATAACACTGAAATAATTAATTTACTTTTTACAATTATTCAAAGTAATTTTTCAATTAATCTTGAGCACGCCCATGGAGTGGTCGGAGGTACCAGTTAAAATTATGCTAATTACTCTCTCGTTCATAAAAATAAACTATAGTGGCTTCTTATCAGTGGATGCGCAGTTTTTCTTTTTCTCGTCATTAGGAGGTTCCTATATTGAAATAAATATGTGAAATATAACAAAATTATGTGAAACTTCATAAAGATAAATTATTAATTATTTTACAGAATGTGGTGGAAGATTCACAGCGAGCGAAGGTTATCTATATTCACCAAATTACCCAAAGAACTACAATAAAAATGAAACCTGCGAATACTTTATTGACATAGATGAAGGGCATGTCATTGAGCTTCTATTTGAAGATGTAGATCTCTTCAAATCGGATAATTGTACGAAAAACTACGTAAAGGTAAACAGCTTTTATTTTTAGAACAAGTTTTAAACCATAAATGATCAGATAGTTGTGAATTTAGTTGTATTAAGCCTTTTCTCTTTTCTTCTCCATGCTCTAATGTTGTTTGTGAGACCGAAGATATTCCAATTAATATTTTTATTATTCTTTCTTCTGTAAAAAACCTGAGGACACAGTTTCTAAAAAATACTATAGAGATTTTCTAGACTTACAAAAGCATTAAGTTTCTCATTTTCATATATATGTTCAGTAGTATTGATTTTAAGTTTGTATGTAATTTAATAGTACCTTTAGCTTCTCTGTCCTCTCTGTTCTCTCGGTCCTGCAATCAAAGGTTTTGATCAGGCAGACATCCAGGATTTGTTTTTGATTTTTATTTTTTAAGTTTCTTAATAACTGTAAGTGATCGATTATATGAACAGTTTTCTGAAACCAGCTTGCTCGGAAGGCTCGCGTGTTCGTTGAAATAATTTTTGTTAATAGTTTCTGTACTGCACTAATTGGTCTATATTTTTGAACCTGTTGTTTATCTTCTCTATTTGTGACGTAGCAAAATGTTTATATAAAAATATAATTTTATTCTTTAGATCCATGATGGACCATCCGCTGCATATCCAGTCTTAAAAACAGCTTGTGGTAGTGAAACGCCAAATGACACTATTAAATCATCTTACAATAATGTTTTCATCGAATTTAGGTCTCATTCCTTCTTCACAACTAAAGGATTTAAGCTTAAATACTACAAAGTAAGTTATATGTTAAGTATTTTAAAATATAATACATGAGGTATTTCACTAAAAGTGAAATTTACCTAGTTGCAGTTTTATATTTACAATGTACTTATTTGCCTATTGAGAATTATTATTCTAGGCTTGTGGGTCTAAAATCACAACACAAGGAAATGGAATCATTGGCGTTCATCATGATGAATTTTCTGAAAACACCCAGACCTGCACGTGGACCATTATATCTTCAGATCCATGTAAATATATTTGTTCTTATCTAATTAATACAATATTTTAGATTTAATATTTAACGGTGTTAACATCAGTTGATTTATTGGGATTTTGACGATTTTTCACTATTTAAGGTATAAAGTCCAGTTGTTACCAGAAATGTTTTTAACTGTAAAGCGTAAGCTAGAGTTTTAATATTTTTCCAAGAGCCACTACGTTATGCTTAGCAAATTTTAAAGCTATTATAGTAAATGTGGACTGAATAAAATTAGACTTTTCTTTGTAAACTTTACTGTAGGTACCAGCTGTTGCGTCAAAAATTGCGCCCACACTTACCATAGGTGAACTCTGCAGAGAATGATCCTTGTAATGTACTCGCCAAAAGGAAAAATGGGGGAACGCTATTTCCCGTAGCAGACTCAACAATGTTAAGGGCTACCTAAGTGTTATGCTCAGTTCCTACAAGCATAGCTAGTTTCTTTTATATGTAAAACATAGCAAACTCGTTGCATTACTTCAGTCACGAATTGCACACCATTATCACTGATAATTCTTCGGAGTAGGCAAAACCGTCAAAAGCTTCATAGAGCATTCTTGTGCGAATGCTTGAGTTAAGGCCAATATCTCCACCCAGTTAGTACATGCGTCTTCGACTACCAAAATCCAACGTTCACCTTTCGATCCTTCAGGTAACGGTCAAAAACCACCTGGTTTTTGGTTAGAAGCCTTATATATTTGACAATCTGGGCACTTATTAATATAATAAGCGACAAAACGGCGATTGCGTAGAAATAATAATTTTGGAGCAATTTTTCTAAAATTATGTTCAATGTCATAATGGCCAGCAGTTGGCGCATCATGATATTACTTTATAATGGCTTCACGCTCGTGTGTAGGTACTACTAACTGAGCCTCTTCTTCGTCGAGTAACAGTAGAGTACTCCTTGTGTGAGCAAGTATCCACGATCTGTCCTTTTTACATATCCATTCGAATGATTAGATTATTTTGGCGACATCTGGGTCTTTCAATTGTTCCACCCTGGTCTCATATGCCGACCGATGGGGCAAGTCAATTTGCACTTCACATATGCAGGACAGTACAACATTGTCTGAGATTTTAGGCTTAGCAGCCACTTTAGGGAATGGTGATCAGTCTGCAGGGTCATTTTAGCACCTTCAGTATAACCTCTAGAGTTTTTTAAGACCCAAACAACAGCTTAAGTTTCTCTTTCTGAAGTAAAGTAGTTGCACTCGGCAGCGATAAGAGGTCTTCTAGCATATGTCAAGGAATGCTCCTCATCAATATCGCCTTGTAGCAATACTGCTCCTAACGCGTAACCACTGGCGTCAGTACGAATGATATAAGGTTGATCTTCATCTTCTTGGTAAGGTTATCAGTAACTTCTTAAGAGTTTTGAATGAGTTCTGTCCATTTCAATGGTTATTTTTTCTTAGTTAAATCGGTTGTGTCTAGATTTATTCACGAAATTATTTATAAATCGACTACAAATTGCACTTCCTTAACGTTTCTCGGAGGTAACCGCTCCGATATAACAGCAGTTTTATCCGAATCAACGAGAATATGCGAAAATTCCTGGCGGAGTTATCAAAACTCCTACATATTTTCGCGAGCAAATACGTACTTTTTTCGATGTGCCTGAAGATTAAACTGATCTAGTCTATCGAACACTGACTTAAGATCATTTAAATATTCATCAAATGAGCTGGAGTACGATAAGATCGTCTAGGTAATTTAAAATTACAACGTTACTAAGACCACAGCAAAAACGGTCCATGAATATTTAAAAAGTCATTGGGGCCCCTTTGATGGCAATACGTGAGTACCGGTATGTTCCGAACTATGACATAAAGACAGTTTTTTTACGGTCAGCTTCAACTACATTAACTTGATGATACCCCGGTCTTAAGTCTATGGTAGACATATAAAAATTTTTCTTTATCATCCAGCCTCAAAACCAACTATCCAAATCCGTCTACCTTGGGCTATTCTCAACCAGTTTTTATTTTTTTTATTTAAAACCCTTAGATGGCTTAATAGATATATACTTATGTCTGCTTAATGTCTATTACATTGTGTAGGAATTTTGATCAACTTCTGCTTTATATTTATAGCAAAACACATCCACTTGACAGTTACACAACTCCAAGGTGTCTACTACTGTGTTCCTGAGGATGCTCCATTGGAAGTGCGAAATGGACAAACCACAGATTCTCCTTTACTTGGACAATATTGTGGCCCTAAAATACCACCTAAGATGACAAGTGATGGATCTGCACTTACCATATACATCAAATCCCAATTAACTTTCTTTGCAACTTACAGTGTCTATGATTCACGTATGTAAAAAATATAACTAGTAATTTTCGAAATAGTAAGCCTTTAATAAGACTTTAGCAATGTCTTTTGTTTCTAGATTGTGGAGGTACTTTAGAAGCTGCTGAAGGGTACTTCTCGACTCCAGAGTATCCCAAAAAGTATCCGTCTAATATAAAATGTGAATGGGTACTGAAAATAGCTGAAGGTGAGCCCTCATTGACATTTTAAATGAGTACAATTTAAAATCCTACTTTTTCCAGGTAATCACGTGACCTTAAACTTCATAGACTTTAGTTTATTAGCTTCGGAAAATTGTAACACTGATTTTCTTGAAATACGCTCCCAAAATTCTTCTGGAAAACTATTGGGGCTTTACTGTGGGAAGAATACTCCAAGTAATATAACAAACGTTGGTAGTCTCTGGTTACTTTTCCAAAGTAGTAAAATAGCACCAGGAGATAACACCATTACAGCGAAAGGATTCTATGCACAATACGTATTAAGTAAGTTTCTATTTATGCAAGTATACAGAGTCAAGAAAATATTAATTTCTGTGTAATAACTGAATCTATGTTTTCTGTTTCAGATGAAGAAAATGAACTAACTGGTATAAAAGGACAAATCGAGTCTCCATTATATCCACTATTTGTCATGGATTATAAGACATATTCATGGAAAATCACTGTGGCTTCGAAGAAACGAATTAGGTTGACATTCAAAGAGTTTTATTTGGATGCCAAAGACACATTTGATGATGAATGTTACTTTGCAACCTTTGAAGTACGTACAAGTTATTAGTTTACAGTGGCAAAAAAGTTAAAGTTGGTTTCTTCTATTCAATATGGCGTATGTGATAACATCTGGAAGTTTGTTTCTTCTTCTTCAAATATCCTCTTCTAAAGAAAGTTGGAGATGACTTCTACAAACTTTTACCTGTCTTTCTTATAAGCCTTTTTTGTAAGTGACTGTCAGTCAATTCTTTGGTGTTTCTTAGCTACGTCATCTGATTGTCACCACTTAATAATGTCATACGGATGTCAAACTTGGAATGTGATAAGGTGGAATATGGATAAATTAGAAAAACCCAGAGAGAGATGAAAATATGGTTGAAAGACAAAAAGCGTAACTAGTGGATACGGAATGTTGCTAAGGTGAAAGATGTCATAGAAAAAGCAACAAAGATAAAGTAGAAATTTGCAGACCAACATCAGGAAGAAAGACGATAAATGGATGAAACAAGTGCCGCACTGGAGACTCTGGTAAACAAAACGATCCAAAGGAAGAGCAAAGAAACATGCCGATTCAAGATGGATAAAAATTGCAATGGTCAAGGAAAAGTGGAAGACAGAGGACGATGCCTATTTGCGAACTTGGATATAAAAATGATTTTATACAAAAAGATATCTAATAATACTGGCCATATTCTTCCATATTGTATTAGATATTCTTTTCATGTTTCAGCACATTTTTTCTACTATTTTTGTCTAAAATAGACCTCCTTTCCCATCTTTTAATATGCACCACTTGATTTTTGTGGTTGTCTCCGACATTTAGTTTCGCGTTTTTACTTTGATGTCCAGCACAAGTAACTAATGTTGTTGGCTCACAGTCCTGACCCTATATATGGCGATGTTGAACATTGTACCTCATGTATTTTTGTATAATTCATTATCATCACTCTCACTCATTCTTCATTTCTGCCCACAATTATCTAATAGTCGCTTTTCTGTACCATGTTGTATCGGCTTGTTTCCTTATATCATAGTCCCATCTTAAATTTGGACATCTTCTTAATCTCTTGACGCCTCTTGGATACCACAGTGTGATTCTAGTGGACCACCTGTTTAGTTTTCTGTCTGATCCATTCTATTCTTTTTCTATCTCTCTTTGTTATACTTAGCATGCGCCGCTTTATTGACCTTTTGAAAGACTTTTGAGTGACGAGGTTTACAACCAACAATTTACTACATAATAAAAAACAAAAGATCTCTTGTTTCTCTTCTATATTAATCGTGTTCATATCTCTTAAATCTTACAAAAACGATTTTTAGGTATATGATGGCGTGGATGACACAGCCTCGTCATTAGCAAAGCTCTGTGGTATATCGCTACCAGAACCGATAATTACAACTTCAAATGTTATGTTTATAAAAGTAGATTACAGCAGTCCACGAATGGGCTCGAAGTTTAGAGTAGATTGGGAACAGATTGATGGAGTTTCTACGAGTGTTTATACACCTTTATATAGTGAGTTAAAATTTAATTTAAGTTTTCTTTAAAAATTATTGATAGTACAGTTTTTATGATACAGCTGGTATCTGGTTCTCTGAGAATGGGAATCTTTTAACAGAACTATGTTTTTTTAAGTTCTTTTCTCTAGATGTGGTTTTATGTACTTATTTTTTGACACGCATGCGCCCGATTAAGTTGATACTTTATGCGTTGCATATAATTGTTTTCTCTGCACTATGCGAAAAACTCAGGTTTAATGCAGTAGCTAAAACAATTAATGTTTAAGCACTACGTTGCTACTTCCCAATTTCCTTACCCGATGAATATATTTTTAGAGACGGAGTGCAACAGTACGGGTGAAGTAATTCAAATAGTCAACGGATCCAGTTTTATTCTAACTTCTCCCGGATATCCACACGGCTACGATCATATGCTAAAATGTAACTGGCTCTTCTCCACAATACCTATGAACCATCTCTCCGTTATCTTTCTCGATATAGATTTAGCAATGAGTAGAAGCAGATTTTCGAACTATAGAAAATGTGATATTTTGAACGACAATATTAACATTTACCAGAAACACTTTTATGACAACGATTGGATAAAGGTTCAGTCTATATGTAAGATGGACGATGCCAAAACTCGTATTCAGGCTACAGATTTCTTAAAAGTTGAATTTCTGACTACACGATATATCAATGGAACCGGATTTAGGGCTAGAATTTTTGAAAGTAAGTTATGCTTAGCTTTATAGAGTCTGGGATTTTAACAACTACTTTTTTTAGCCTGTGGAGGTGAACTAAGGGCTTCAACAGGGTATATTATATATGATAATTCAACAGTTAAAGGTCAGGAGGTAAGTTTGTATTGTAGTTTAGATTTGTTGTCTATAATTCTATATTTAAGAATACACAATTTTCTATTCTTTCAAGCAAAATATACAATGTTGAATACCTCTTTAGCTCGTGTTCTACATTCTACTTAACCTATATCTCTCTAAAAACTTTTTCGGATGGTAAATGTCTGATCTATAGTTGACCTTCCAGCACGAAAGCCGCATTGGTAGTCGCCTAGAATATCTTCCGAATATAGTGTTAGTCTCTTTAGCAAGATAATTGATAGCAACGTATATGATGTGAAAATTTTAGCAATTCATATGCATGATAGCAATTTATATGATGTGAAAAATAACATTCTTTTTTAGTAACTGATTCAGTGAGCTTGCAATCTCACCCAATTTCGAAACAGACTTTCTTACATAATTTCATAATTTACCACACCCAACAGTTTTTGAAGCTCAATTTGCTTGCTAGCACAATTAAACTCTCCAGTATATTTTCCAGTTCCCTATCATTTCCAGGCGATCTATATGTCGTTTTTTACTTCTGTTCCATTCATCGTCTTTCGCATCACCTCTTATTTTCCTTGTCTTCAAAGAAAAATAAATTTCAATCATTTAAAATTCAGTTACACCAGGAATTAAATGAAAATGGTTTTCAAAATTAAGTTACCTGAGTTTCACAAAAAAATGCACTAAAACTCCTGGGGTTCGAACCGGAATTACTAAAATTTCCGCCACTGGAACAAAAACTACATCTCACGCTGCGATAGTAGTGATAGGACTGACCATTTAAGGTTGAAGCTGGCACCGAACACAAAACTTGGAACTCTGCCTGTTAAAAGGACTGGAACAATATGGACATATTTCAAATTTGTTGTAAATGACACAAATCTCTTAGGTACTTAAAAAAATAGTGATTACTCTTTTTAAACTGACATATTAACAGAGAGTAAAATTCCACTATTTTCAACACTCAACCTCAACTTAAATTCAATCGACCCTCCACACTGGTTTACCAGTTTTGCGTTTTACCGCTCTCGTAATCAAAAAAACCCAAAATTCCTGTTAACCATATCGAAAAATGTCCTTAAATCAAACAATTTTTTAAAACCGTAGAACTAACGTATACAAATAACCATATTTTAACGTCCTAGCTATAACCGGAATTTGGAAATCTTTTCTTTTACCTCACAATGTAAACAGAATTGGGGAATATTTAGACTCGGGCCAGTGACGTACTAGAAAATTTCTTATTCTTGAATATAAGATAGTTTTTTAAGGAATTTTCATTGTAATGAATAATTCATTATAATAATAATATTAATAATATAATTTATTTTTTGCAGTGCCAATGGAACATAACAGTCGGATCTACGAAGATGATAGAATTAATATTTGAAGAAATGCATATCGATCATGATATTAGTAAAGGCTGTGATAATTTCCTGATGGTAACAATATTACTTCATACACTCAAACCACAGTTTTTAAATCTTTATTTTTTTGTAGATAAGAAATGGTAAATTTGCAGACTCACCTTTATTAGGTGTTGGTAAATATTGTGGACATACACTACCTGAAAAGTTGACATCTACCGGAAATAACCTGTATATAAAATATAAAGGATCAATGGGTATCGAGGTATAATTTTATGTTGTATATTATTAAGGTTACTTGTATTTTGGTGAGGAGGTATGTACCCTGACTATAACTTTCCATGTCACCACTTTGTGTTGGACCCAAATCAGAGATCGAAGAAGAAGTAGCAGTTTTCAACCAACCATTCACCTTCAATTTACAGAATATTTTTATATTTATTTATTTCACGTTTTCACTCCAGAAGTCTCACTCAATTCGTCGCAATATTTAGGACAAATTCCGTCATTACGGCGATTGTGGATCACCGTTTGAAAAGGCTGCTCTAAATCAGTGTTTCCCAAAGTGGGGGTCGTGACCAACTGGGGGGTCGCTATGAGATACTAGGGGGGTCGCCGAACATTTTCAAAATAAGACAAAAGCACCACATTTTTCTTAGAAACGCCTTAATTTTATCTGTGGCTGTAATTATATTAGTCGCGACCTTGTAAATTACTGTTCAAAATATTTAATTGCTCGAAAATATCAGCAAGGAAACCTAGTTTTAGAAGCCAAATAGGATCGGAAAATTAATTTTCATGTGGGGACTTCTCATCTTTCAAATACATTAAAAGCTCTGCTCTTAAGTGAAATACTCTTTTTAAGACGTTGCCCCTTGAAAGCCACCTTACTTCGGTGTGATAGAGAAGATTTTCAAATAAAGCACCCATGTCTTCGCAAATTTTTCTAAAAATACGGGTCTGCAAAGCTTTTCCTTTAATGGAATTTACAACTTTAATGATGGTTTTCATAACACAGTCCATTTCAGGAGGTAAAGCTTTGGACGCAAGAGTTTCTCGATGTAAAAACAATGTCTCCATTTGGCATTAGGCATTATTTCTTGTAATTTGACAACAAGACCAGATTTATGTCCTGTCATAGCTTTAGCGCCATCTATGCATATAGCAATACATTTACCCCAGTCAATATCATATTTACTTGTACGTTTCACAAAAGTGTCGAGTATACATTTTTCAATTATATTGGTCTCCAATGGGGAACAAAATAAGATATCTTCTTGAATGTCATTATTTGTATCATATCTTACAAACGTAATGAATTGGGCACAGTTAGATATATATGTGGATTCGTCCAATTGAAGAGAGAAGTACGTGCATTTATTAAGATTTTCCACAACTTGCGCTTGAATATCTTCTGCCATATCATTAATTCTTCTTTGGATAGTATTATGTGACAGAGGTATTGTATTAAATTTTGCAGCCTCTCTTTCCCCACACGTTATATGTACCATTTCAACAGCTGCTGGAAAAATCAGATTTTCAGCACTTGTGTGCGGATTACTAGTTTTGGCAACACGATAAGCAACTTTATAACTTGCTAATAATGCTTTTTCATTAGTAGTGGTTGCCCAGAGAAAACTGTCTTGCTGTTTGTGAAGGACGTTCAGCTTTCTTTCAAAGAATTCTACGGGCTTGTCTTTTTTATATGGATGTTTGCTATTTAAATGTCGAAGTAACTTTGATGGCTTCATGCTTTCTTTTGACAAGACTTGTCCACAAATAACACATTGTGGTTTAGTGGAAATAACGGTAAAACCATATTTAAGATATTCATCAATCTAGAATCTGTTTTTCTTTTTATTGCTGCTACTGCTGCACTTCTTTTTAAAACCTTATTTATAATTTATAATTTATCTTAGACGTAAATACGTAAACGAGAATACGTAAGTCGTAAAATATTTACTCATTACTCAACACCGCGTTCGCCACCATAGGCTGTTTGGATTCGAATTGAGGTTTCGTTGCGCATCGCCGCTTATATAAAGCCAACGTTCCAGAGTGCCATCTAGTAGCGAGCGCTTTCGCGATTATCATGGAAGAGTTTTGTGATGTAGACACAAGCTAATATGTCGCGGTGTACAATGTGCAGTCGACTTCTTATTATTTATTTTTATTGTAAATGCTATTATGGCAGAAGTACCTACTACTAATTACTAGTGTGACAGATCGCAATCATTAAAATAATTGTATTAAAATAAAATAATTGTTTTTGATTTAAACTTAAACAGTAAAGTAAAATTAAATTTGAGAAACCATCAGATAATTGTAAATTAGGCACGATATTTCTGTCAAATAATATTAAATAAATGAGTGGGGGGAAATTGGGGGTTGCGAACAAATTTTTTAGCAAAAATGGGTCGCGGTTTCGATAAGTTTTAGAAACTCTGCTCTAAATGATTCATATATAATTTTTGTTTTTTTTTTGTTTAAAACATTTTGTTTAATATAAAATTTGTATTTTGACTGTGACAAAAATTCTTTATTTCAGGGTTTTAGACTAAAATACCAAGAAGTTTCAGCTAAATGTGGTGGCAACATCATATTAAGTACATACGATAACTTTACAGAAATCAATAGTCCCAATTATCCTAATATTCCCAATCCTCATATAGAGTGCAATTGGAGGATTACAGCCCCATTAGGAGAAATTTTAAGGATCGATTTTGAAGATAGATTTGATTTAACTTCCAAACCCAAGTAAATATATTCATAATATTTATTAATTTTTACTCACGACAATTATTTAGATGTTAACATATCTTTCCGATAAAATATTTTCATCGTAATCATTCTCATCGCAGCTGTTCAATTTTCTGAAGTTATTATTATTCATTTCATTTTGTCATATTCTACATTTTATCTTCCAATCTGGTATATTCATTATTTTTATCTCTTCTTCTATCTAATCCTCTTATCTTTTACTTATCTTCAGTGAGATCAAATTTGTTAGAATAAGCTAGAAAAAGAAGGTGAATCAGAGCGGATTCAGACGAGGGAGAAGCACAACGGACACAACGGACAACAATCAGAGAATTACAAGCAGAAAGCTATGAACATATCTTACCAACGATAGCGCTATTCATCGACTTCCAGCAAGCATACGATAAAGAGGAAGGAATTAAAAGAGACTCTTGAGGATATGGGAGTTAGCAGAAAGTTGCGTAACATGATACATCTTACTTTAGAGAATACAGAACACAGAGTCAAAGTAAACAATCATTCATCGGACAAATTTATAGTAAACGAAGGATTAAGGCAAGACGATCCTTTGTAATTATTACTCTTCAATGTATGCCTAGAAAAAATAATGCGAGAAGCGAAAATCAATAGAGAAGGACTCCTATATCATAAAAGATACCAAGTTTTGGCATTTGCAGATGATATAGTGTTGCTGGCAAGAGAAAAAAATGAGCTACAGGAGATAGTACAGAGAATAGTAAAAGCAGCGAAGAAAATGGGACTTGACATTAATAAATCTAAAATAAAATGTATGCAGTGAACAGATGATCAGTTCAGGGATGGACAAAAGTTTAAAGTAGAAGTAGAAGAAGGATCATCATACGAATTCGAAATTGTAGAAAGATTTACATACCTAGGTGCAATAAAACCTAACATTAAAGAAGAAATACAAGCTAGAATAATGGCAAGCAATAGAACTGTACATGATCTTAGTGGAATGTTAAAAAGCAAGTTCTTATCAAGAAAGGCAAAAATACAGTTATACAAAACAACTATACAACCAATAGTAATATACTACAGTGAGACATGAACAAAATTTACTGGAGATATGGGAAAGGAAAATCCTGAGGAAGATATATGGAGGAATAATAAGGGACGATTTATGAATAAGAAGATCAAATGTTGAGTTAAAGGAATTATATAATCAACCTAATATAATAGGAGTCATAAAGGCACAGAGACTAAGATGGCGAGGTCACCTAAAAAGGATGCCGAACACGAGGAATCCGAAAAGGGTACTAAACTACACTATTGCTTCAAAAAAGAGAAAAGGAAGGCCAAAAAATAGATGGCATCAAGAGGTAAAAAAAGATATGGAAAAAATTGGACTAGAAGGCCAGAAAAGAAAAATGAATAACAAGAAGGAATGGAGAAAAATCAAACAAAAATCAAAATCAAAAAAATCAAAAATGAAAGAACAAACTTATCAAGCCATGGGCCTCTAAGGCCTTTAGACCTATTGTATATATATTGAGATTCCTACTTTCTTTTAGAATATAGATTTTAAAAGTAAATCCTTAATATTTCACATTTCTATTTTCAGTTGTGATGTTGAATACGTTGAAATTAGGGATGGAGGAACAGAATATTCTTCAAGCATAGGAAAGTTCTGTCGAACTTCTCCCAGTTCGGTATACACTACTGATAACATGATGTTCATCAAATTCTTCACCGATACAGATGAACCTAAAAATGGATTTAAAGCTAAAATATCGATGTCCCGATGTGGTGGCACCGTAAGGGGCAGAACGGGAGAATTAAGTTATACTAGTACGTCGACAATGAACAAGCATAACTGCACTTGGCACATTATTGGACCTGAGGATCATTTTCTTTTTATTAATTTTAAAACGGTGGACACACCATGCGAACGATCTACAGCAAATTATGTGACTGTATTTGAGGGTTTCCCAATAAAAGATGTTCAAAGCAAAAATGGTAAGTAAATATTTTTAATACAATATCTCTACAGCTTATTCTCGTATCCAATATGTTGCAGTTTTTGGCGCTTAAAACTCGCTTACAGCTAGTCTCGCTTGAAAAAAAACGTAACCTACAACTACAGTTGAGGTCTAAAATGCCGTGTCTTAGCAGCTCCTATGAAACATTTTTATCTTAGATTGATAGCAGAACAGACTTTGGATGCAGAGTACTAATTTAGTAGTAGATCATCATACTTTAAATTTCTTTCTCTTCTGTTAAATGTTTAGTTACCAAAATATATGTGTTTGTTTATTTTAGGAATACAGATCGCCAAGTTTTGTGGAAAGAATGTACCTAAGCCAATCAAAAGTGAATCCAATTCAGTAACGATTGTGATGTGGGGTGGAAATCCTGGACACTTCTCCCTTAAATACAATTCTAGTCAAACTGGTAAAGTATTAAAATATTATTATTACTATTATTATAACTAAATTTGACTTATTTGTCAAAAGGATTAAGTAAATATTGAGTCGAAGGAAAATATTTCCGTATTGAACATTATCGAATTTGAACACACCGAGATTTCTACTCCTACTTTGAAGTTTCCTGAGTCTGTAGATTATTTCACTTTTATGTTCACTAGTTAACTACACTATTATTGCTTGGAACATTGAACAGTCCATTTAAACACTGAATGGTGACGTGGTTCACTGACCTGACTCACATAACTAGTGCTGAAACCGAATTGAAATTGCGAACGGAAATGGAATGTTCATATATCCTATTTTGGATTTTCAGTGACATATTTTATATAAGGAAGAAAAGTATGTTGATGTTCTGACTCTTCGGATTAAGATTACGTGTGAGATAAGAAGAAATGAAGGCCTGAAAAGCTAATAGATCTAAGTGCCAAAAGTAAAATTGTTGGTAAAATTTAAAAAAACTAAAGCTTTCAACAGAATACAATTTTATTTATAAAAAGTGGTTTTAATCAAACAAGTTATTGTAAATAGATGGTTTTGTAATTTTTGTAGTTTTACAAAAACGAAATAGAGAAAACTCATGTTAACCATATACTTTTTCGAACAGATCTAAGTCCATTGATAGGTTTCACTTCTAAGAGATCTAAGTCCATTGGTATGTTTTACTTTCTAAAGATCTAAGTGCCATCACAGAAATGGCACATGGTAGAAATGTCTGTTTTCTTTATCAATGAAACCTAACATGCTTCCTAAGTCGTTTTTTTGTTTTCTGCTAGTGGAACCTTTGTTGGTAAAGTAGTAAGCTCCATGGAAGCGATGTATTCAATAGAAATATTTTTCTTGAGAACGTAGCATTTTTATCAAACCCATCTTCCTGATCTTTAATTTAAATGTAGTGGGGCCACCACGATTATCTTTAAAAACCACGTCTCACTTTTCTTCTTCTTCACAATAAGTGAGATTTTTTGAGGTGAAACTCCAAAAATAATTCAAAAAGTTTTTTTACGTACTTTAAGGAACTCTCTTTTCCATCAGGTACCCTGTAACTTACAGTGCTTTACCTTTGGCTGCTTTCTAGCTTATCGTAAGAACCGTGTCGCTGTCTGGTAATAGGAAGAATGTCTATCAAACCCATTAAATAAGAACCTTGGTCATTCAATCCAAAATTACCTGAAAAAAAAAAGAAATGAGTTAGGGTATATGTTGTGTATGGTAATGTATAAAATGTGGATCGAATAGTGATATCGATAACCAAAACCTGTTCATTAGATTCTAATATAAGACTGTTAAGATAAATAAACTTGTCAGCAACAATCACACATGTACATAAATAGAGAATGACCTAAATTACAAAACTATGTAAATAAATATTATACTAACCTCTTCTGACATCTGGCACATAGATCAACTAGCACTTCCATTGCTCTAGGACTTGCGCACAGCGCATTCCGTTGGAATTTATTTAAACCGTTTGGAGGGGGTTAGGGACTTGGATCTTTCAGCAGTGCATTGGCGTCAGCCGTCAGGACATAGATCATTTTGCAGGAATAAAATGAAATTGGTAAATATGGTACTTAAATCGATTAGCATTTCAGGTTCTCAAATATGTAGTATCTCGTCTCAAAGGCGTATTGATCGAGAAAAACGATTAATGACTGAAAGTAATTTATAAAGGTCGGTTATGGAATTTGGCATCCAAGTAGCGCTTGGTATAGATGGAGTAAACAAGGTAATGTAAATCTTGGGATTGCTTTTTTTTAAGTCAAAAGCTCAGTGAACTCAAATTCGATCGATTATTTTTCTAAAAATATTAATCTAAGCTTTAGATTTATATAGTATATATATATATATATATATATATATATATATATATATATATATATATATATATGCTTATTAGTTGAAACTTTTTTTTTTTAATTCCAGCGTGTGGTGGAAAGTTAAATACCGAAAGTGGAATAATACAATCTCCCGGATATCCATCCATGAACCATTTCAACAGAGTTTGTCATTGGGAGATTGTAGTACCTGAGGGAAGGAGAATTACATTCAATTTAATGGATCTCGATTTGGGAGGATCCTCAAACTTTATCTATGATAGGGGTCTTGAACTATTCGACGATACTATTTTGAAAGTACGACGAGCGTTGATCACTACCTCTTCCAACGAAACTAAATTTCAATCTAGTTCAAACGTGATGTTCGTACTTTTCTGGTCTATCAGCAGGTCAGAGCATAGGGGATTCAAAGCCAATTTTACATCAGATCTTCCAACGTGTAAGAAATATTTTTTTATTAAACTGTTTATTTAAAACTTATTCGTTACATTCCGGGCAAAAGTTAGTATTTTTTTTATTTTGGTATACCCAATAATTACTACCATTAAATGATTATTTTCTTCAGTATGTCAAGGTGTGTTTAGCAGAGAAAACGGGGTAGTAACCAATCCAGAAACAACGAACAAAGTTTACTTTTGTCAGTGGGTCCATCAGCGTACGGATATAGCAAAAGACAGAACATTTACTGTAGCCCTTACAGTAAAAACCAATAACGAAAAATCTGAAAGTGCATGTACGTATTCTCCAGTCCTCGTCGAAATTACTGCTACTGATAAGAAAACGGTTTTGTCCAAGGTGTGTGCCTCAACAACTGCTCCCGTTATTATAAGATCTCCGTTTTTGGTTACCAAATTATCGGTAAGTGAATAATGTGTCTTGCAACTTGTTTAAATTAATAAAGCGATACAACGAAGTATCGAAGGAACCGAGAAAATATTTGAATAAAACACCAAGAGATACCAATTTTCAAGACTCTAGTACTTTTCCTTCAAGAAACGAAAAGGAAAATAGTATGAGAACAAGAAGAAAATCCTTCTTTTTCTTTAAGTGCCGTCTCCCAATCAGAGGTTGGATATCATCATCACTATCTTTACTTTATCTACTGCTGCTCTGAAGAGTTCTATACAACTGCATTTAAACCAGTCCATTAAATTCTTCAACCATAATACTCTCCTTCTACCTATACTCCTTCCTCCTCTTATCTTTCCCTTTATTATTAGCCTTAGCAGTTCATATCGCTGTCCCTTCATTACGTTTCCCAGATATTGTAACTTTCTTATTTTTATTGTGTTTATTATTTCGCATTCTTTGTCATTCTAAGCATCCTCCTGTAACACCACATTTCAAAGGACTAAGTTATTTATGTGTTCTTGCTTTAATGTCCAGCTTTCAAGTTTATATTGCATCTCAGTGCTCTTACTCTCAGTTCTAATATAATGTCTTTATTGCAGAGAATTGTTTTCATTTTTACAAACATATTTCTTAATATTGTTCTGAAGCTATTTTCTTGTGGCATTGTAAATTAATTACTATTAAACTGGGAATAAGCCACAATTAAAGATAAAATTACGTTTATTGACGTTTCAATTTCCACTTCGGAAATCGTTCTCAAAATACAAACAGTAAATTAAACAAATTTTGTTTTTTGTTACATAGTGAAAAATTCTTCTAATAATTTAATTTTATTTGACTCATTTATATTGACAATTCAGACATACATTATGCATTTTAAAGTAGACGACTTTAAAATGATATTGCCAATATTGTTGAGTTGCGCTCCTGGGACGACTTTACTTATAAGATAGTTCATTCGATTACATGAAATCAACTTTAACTTGAGAATATCCGTCAGAAAAAAATCATAGCATGTAATTCGTCTTTAAAAAGACAAACACATGACATGATGACAGTAAAATTCTCCTGTTAGTGATTCCATAGTAAATTATGAGGGAAAACCAGGAAAAAACCTTATAATACTATCCCGACATTGTAAGTATTTGTTCGTGAATTTAGTTTACCTTCAACAAACATCAAAATTCTGATTTTATATGATACGTTTAATAAGTAGTTAATAAGCAGTTTAATAGTAATTAACGTATTTCTTGCTATTTCTATCCTGGCTCTTACTTCGGTTGTTTGATTCTCATTGTCTGAAATCCAGGTTCCTAGGTTCCTAGGTATTTGTATTTATCAACCCTTTCTATCGGTACATTTCACAAATGTATGTTTGTTGGTATATTTGTTTTCTTTGTTATTATCATGTATTTGGTCTTTTTTATATTAATTTTTAGTCCATATTTTTCACAGAAACTGTTTGTTTTGTTTAGCAGTAATTGGAGTTGTTCAGCAGAGCTTGTCATAATCACGGTGTCATCTGCATATCTTATGTTGTTAATAGATCTTCCGTTAATTATTATTCCTTCACTTTGAGATAGTAATGCTTCTTCAAAAATGGCTTCACTATATACATTAAATAGTAATGGGGACATAATACATCCCTGTCTAGCTCCTCTCCTGATTTCTATGTCTGGACTGGGTTCGTCTAAAGAGCACAAATCTACTGCTATCAGAGAAATATCTATTAGCAAGTTTGGATATTTACCCTTAAATCTTCTTCTTCTTCTTCTACTTTTTGTAGATCTTTCGATCTGTTTAATTCTGAAGCTGCCTCTGGTTAATTTCTTGGGAGGTAGATTGCCAACTATCCCTCCATCTTTTAGGTGGTCTTCCGGGGGGTCTTGAACCGGGCGGATTGTTTTCTAGGGCAATTTTTGGGAGTCTATTCTCATCCATTCGTCTTACATGGTTGTACCACATCCTCTTGCGCTACCTTCCCCATCTTACAATATCTTGAATTTTGCACTGCTCTCTAATGTTTGTATTTCTCACTCTGTCTCTTCTTGTTTTCCCCATTATTGTTCTTAGGGTTTTCATTTCAGCAACCCTTAGCATCTGTTTCGTTTTGTTGGTATCTTCGCGCACTTCTATGCCATATGTCATGATCGGTCGTATGCAAGTCTTATAGATTCTAATTTTACTATCTGTGCGCATATACGGATTTGACCAGACTATCTCCCGCAGACATCCTGACAGTGCAGATGCTTTGTTGATCTGACTCCTCAGGTCCTTTACTGGGTCGTGGGTGCTTGATATATCTATGCCCAGATATCTGAATTGCATCACCTGTTCTATGGGGTTGTCCTCAACCACTAACTTACATCTGAGCGGATCTTTTGCTATTGTCATACATTTAGTTTTGTTGGTAGAGATGTTCATATTTAGTAGTCGGCTTGTTTGAAAGAACTGAAAGAGCTGCCTTTGGAGATCATCTTCTGATTCGGCAATAATTGCTGCATCGTCTGCGTAACACACCATACCAATTCTTTTGTTGCCCATTCTATATCCAAGATTAAGAGATGTTACTTTGTTGATAATTTTGTCCATGAGAAGATTAAACAAGAAGGGGCTTAAACTGTCGCCTTGTCTAATTCCTCCCGGTGTTGGAATATTTTCAGTGAATTCGTCTCCTGCTCTAACTTTGGTTACGTTGTTGTTAGTTATGGAGTATCTTTGTTATACTGGTCGGTGTTTCATTTTCTATTAATATATTTAGAATGTCTCCCAGGCGAACTCTGTCAAATGCCTTCGTCAAATCAATGAAGCAAATATACGCTGGCATGCCGAACTCTATAGCTTTTTCTTTTATTTGTTTTATTATAAATACTGCGTCTGTTATAGACCGCCCTTTTGTAAAACCTTGTTGTTCTTCAGCATTAGTGATTTGCTTTTCCAATTTGTCCTTGAGAATACCCGTGAAAAGTTTCATTGTTGTATTTAAGAGGGTTATTCCTCTATAGTTTTGTGGGCAGGTTTTTTGTCCTTTTTTAAATATGGGGATTGTGATACTATTTTGCCATTCCTCTGGTGTTTCTGTTTTGTTTAATATTTTGTTAAATAGTTGTGCCAGTTTACTTGCAAGTTCCGGGCCTCCATATTTTAAAAGTTCATTGGGTATACCATCCGTTCCCGGTGATTTTCTGTTTTTTAGCTTTTTGATCTTTGCTTCTACTTCTTCGTCATTGATTGTAGCACTCACATCTGTTTCGCCTTCTTTTATATTCAGCGTTTCTTCAGCATCATATAGCTCTTTAAAATGCTGTTGCCATGCCCCTATAGGTACTCCTTTGGTCTGCACGAACTCGTTAACTGGTTTTTTCCTGTTGCGGAGCATTTTCCATACTTTCTTTTGGGCACCATATAGGTCGTAGTCCATGTCGCAAGTGAATTTGGCCCAATGTTCTCTTTTGATTGATTTTAAATCCCTTAAATCAATGTGGAGAATATTGAAACCCAATATCACTTATTCCTACTTCAAAGGTATGGATTGTTAGGATGTGCACCATTAGTATTATAATATATGGGCGTGGAAGTGGAGTTTAAGTCCACTGTCGCAGTAGGAATTTATAAAAGAAAGAAAAGTAAGTTGTAACGTTTCAAGAACCCTGATTGGTTAGTATTGGTTACTTATCAATTTTAACTCCCTTACGAGAAGGTGTAAGTGACAATAAGATCTAATGCGACAATATGTGGGATATTTTCGAGTGTCCAATATTATAATACAGATGGTAGAGAGGCAGATATACGACACGATTTCAATTAGAACAATTTATTAACTTTTATGGTGAATTCAATTTGTTACTCTTTTCAGGCGGCAGCTGCAATGAAATTCACACTCAACTTTACAGCAACTTACAGCACTTACGACTGTGGAGGCATGGTTCACGATCAGTCGGGAGTTATCTCAAGTCCTGGATTTCCAAACAAGCCAACCAAGTCGTATGAGTGTGCTTGGCTTCTTTCAGTTGACGCAGGCCAAACTATAAATATAACCACTGTGTCGCTATCTCTTGGAGATGATTGCGAAAAGAGTTATTTAGTAGTTTATAATGGCGGCCTTCCTACTCATCCTAGAATAGGAAAATTCTGCAAGAATACAAAACCTGAGATATTGATTTCGCAGAGTAACAAACTATGGATTGAGTACAAACATGATCAAACCTCTACTGGAACAGGATTTATGTTGAAATATGAAGCCATGAGTACAGGTAAATATAAAATATTTTATTTAAAACATTTTTCTTTTTCCGTAAATTCCATCTTTTATCGAAGGTTTAAAATGATCATTTCCTCAAGTTCTTAAGCCACGATATTCTTTCAATTGCAGGATGTTGAAGTTGCAAGAATAAGTATTTTTTCCCTCTGATCACATGTTCTGAGTACTCAAGTTTCCTTCTTTTGATAGTCAATTTTATTTCAGCATCATTTCCTATCACAGAAAGCTATTGTTAATAAAGTTAATTTCCACTTTATCTGTCGTATTTTGCTATATACAATACTTCTGTAAGACTTTTCGAAATATATTTGATTATTGGTTAACTTAGCTATAATCCGTTCACAAATTGTTGAGAGCACAAAATGTGCGTCAAAGTCATAGAACGGTCATAAAATTTGTATCATCATAAGCGTTCCTGAGGTGTTACATTTATTTTCCTTTCCAAAATGTTTATCAGTATTAATAATGTTTTAATACTAATATATTTAGCAAAAAACAATTAAAACTTTCACGGATAATGTTGGTTATTATATTATATTAAAAAAAAATAAGAATTTAACCATTAACAATTTTGTCAATAAGAATATCTTATCTCTTTGGATATTTCAATACTAATCTTCGCGTTTAATCACTTTACTAGAAAACCTGGAATTAATATCCGAAGGTACTATTCGTTGCAACTAATTAGGATGGAATTCCCAGATTTTTAATAATGCCGGCTTTGGCCACGTGCCTCGTTTGTTCAGTTTATATTCGAAACTTAACTTGAAAGGATGAAGTTATTACGAACGAAAACAATTTTTTTGTTTAGTACGTTTTTGATCGCATGTAATTTACGGCTCGTCGGTGTTTCCGCGTCTACGGCAGTAATTAGCGTCTCGAATATTTCTTTTGCGAATTATATGCAGTGCGTGGGTGATTTTTTATTCCATATACCTACGAACATATACGTACTTTTCGCTCGTGCTCGTTTTGTTGGATTGTTTGTGATGGCTTCATCATCATCATCAAGTTTTACAACGATACTGTTGCGTACAGTCAGTAAGTCTGTCTATTCACCAAGAGAGAAGACTATTGTCCCGAATGTTCACGATGCTCTGGTTTCTCAGAATCCTACAAACACTCTTTACAACATAGTCGAAAGTTGTGCCAACATGACTGGCGTAGGGGAGTCAACTATATATAGATTCCTATCAGAAAGAAAAAAACACGGTATAGCTAACCCAAACAAAAACGAACATTTAAAGAGAGGGAAAAAGCCTATTAAAATTGATGAATTTGCCAAAAATGGTATTCAAAGGAAAATTCATGGATTATTTTTTAAAAAAGAAATACCAAACCTAAACAAAATTTTAGAAGAAGTTGGAGACGACCCGGATTTGCCTCATATCGGACGAACTAAATTGTGGCAAGTTTTAAAAGAATTCAATTTCCGGTGGGAGAAATCAGACCGAAAATCACTTTTGATTGACCGGGAGGAGATAATATGTTGGAGAAGAAATTATCTAAGATCCATACGAAAATTCCAGGCTGAAGGAAGGCCAATCTTCTACCAGGATGAAACGTAGGTACACTCAGGTCATACCTGAAAAAGTACAGTGAAAAAGGATATGTTAAGCATGGTTTGTTGGAATGTCAGTCCAAAAGCACAAAATACTATCACGAGGAGATGACAGCTGATGTTTTCGAAGAGTATTTTGAACAGATGATTGAACACATACCACCAAATTCAACTATAATATTAGACAATGCACCTTATCATTCACGACAAGACTTTAAACGACTGCATTGAAGAAACAGGATATTCTTGACTGGCTGCGGAATAAGTATCTGCCTTACGAAGATGCAATGGTAAAAGTAGAACTTTTAAAAATTGCCCGGCAACACAAATCTAAGTTTAAGAAATACGTAGTTGACAAAATGGCGGAAAGGCGAAATATCACAGTCCTTAGACTTCCACCCTACCACTGCGAAATAAATCCAATTGAACTCATTTGGACACAAATGAAAAGTTATATGGCTAGAAAAAATACGTCATATCAAATAGAAGCTGTACGTGAATTGTTATACGAGTCTTTACAACATATTACCGAACAAAACTGGAAAGATGCAGTAAAACATGTAATAGAAGAAGAACAAAAAGTGTGAGATCTTGATAAAATAATTGATGCGACCGTAGAGACTCAACCGCTAATTATTAACCCTCAAGACGACTCGGATTCCGAAGTTGATCCTATTTATTTTGAATTTGAATAGTTTTCTAATCGTAATTATATAAGGTAAGTAATAGTAGTTGTAATTGTAAGGTGTTAAAGGGGAAAGGCGCAAAATGTCGCCTGTCAAAATGTTCAATGTGTTTAAATGTATCCATTTTTTTCAATCCTGGGAAAACTAAAAAGCATTTTTGAAAAATTTAAAGGCAGAATGAAATATTTATTAGAATAAATAAATAAATAAATTATACTATATTTTCTCTTTTATTTTCACCCCTGTTACATAACATATTAAAATAAACATTGTAGAAGTTTTCAGGGATTTCTGCCCTCAGTAATAATGTAATCTTTCATTCTGCGTTTAAATTTTTCAAAAATATTTATCCGTTTTTTCCGGATTCGAAAATAATGGATACATTTAAATCACATTGAAAATTTTGCCAGGCGACATTTGGCGCCTTTTCCCTTAATTAAATAAATCTATCTTTTACAAATGGAAAGAAACTTTTTATTTTTGAATATAATAAAGAAGTTTTATTAAAACAAAAATACAATTTGCATAAGTACAATTTAAAAAATATATTTATTTAGTTCAAACAGATGTTTCAATCATATGCTCTACGACACTGGTCGGTCATCTGTAACCAAAATACCTCCGTAATCAGATTATAAGGTTGACTGCTGTATTGTATTCCTTCAGATACAAGGTGGGTTAGTCGAAAACATCTTAAACCGTCAGTTTTAGGTTGGTTTTTACTATTATATCGTATTACCTATCCTCTCTGTATTTCAGTTCTCTAATTAGGGTTAAACTTGTAGTGAGCTATCGACAAATTGTGAACCGATTATAGTCTATTTCGTTAATCGTTCCTGTTCCATTGTGGACTATTGATTTAATGCACCATTTCTTTATCCAATGTTATTGAGTTGCCTGGGCTGAACTGTTGTATACTAATATAATATAAATACTTTCAGGTTGTGGTGGTGTATTCCATGATATAAAACGTACAATTAGGACGCCAAATTATGGCGTTGGGGACTATCCACATAAAGCAGAATGCTTATGGATTATTGAGTCGGAACCTGGATATCACATCAAATTGAATTTCATTGAGAGATTCTTTATAGAACAAAGTACAAATTGTACAAAGGACTATGTAGAAGTAGGTATAGTATTTAAATTTGTTTATTTAATACTTTCTTTATTTATTTTCTTAGGTTTGGAGTTGGGATTTGGATCATTGGACCTCTTTAGGACGAAAATGTGGTAGGGACACTCCGACATCTTTACAATCCAAGGGAGAAAGAATGAAAATTTTGTTCAGAAGTAACGAAGAAACAGCTGGTGCTGGATTTAAGGTAAGTTCAAATCTGTTTTATATCAATATAAATTAAATAGACGGTTTAGGTTTAATTTCTTTACAGCGTACTACCATTCGCTGATATACATATTTCTGCCTCTTAGCTTCATGAGAGAGTTTGTAATGACTTCGCTGTGTGTTTTATTTTATATTTTACTCTAGTATGGAATATTAGGAAATCGTTTTTACGAATGGATTTCTATCTAGACGAATTGGTATGACGTGGATACAATTATGTGGGAATAAATATAAAATAGATAAATACGATTTTCGATTTATATTCTTCATATTTTATATCTGTTTTAGGCTTCCTGGGAATGGTTATGTGGAGGAAAATATCTTGCAGATACAAAGACGCGCTATATCGTCAGCCCTGGCTACCCTATGCACTACAAAAATAGTCTAAAGTGTGAATATACCATAGAAACAAAATCTGAAGCAATTAATCTAAGATTCCTTGACTTCGTTTTAGAAGCAGGTAAAGTAGAAAAATGATTACTTACGATATTATACTGGGCGAAACCCTGAATCATAAATTTAATACAAGTGTATGCACCGAGGGTAACGGGTAGATACACTTTACGATCCCGGTAAAGTTAGGTTTACTACCACGACCCTGCCCTGCTCACGTGAGCCGTGGTTCACTCTCACTCCCTTTAACCGAAAGGGTATCACGTCCCAACCTATCATCCTTGTCAAAAACCCCAAAATGTTCTAACCCATCCGTAACATCCGTCTACCAACCCGCACAGGCCAGCGTGGTAGAGAAACGGCTATGAACCGGATATGGCGACAGAAACGAAAGGGGTCAAACTCTTATAGAATTTCTTCTGCAACACAGACCATATGTCATGAACACTCATTTTAAAAAAAGCCCCCAAAGAAAGTGGACTTGACATTCACCAAACGGCTTGAACAAGAACGAAATTGACTTTATCCTTACTAACAAAAAAGTAAAAGATGCTGTAGTAAATCAATTTTCAACCGGAAGTGACCATAGAATGGTTAGAGCGAAGGTAGTTGTTAAGGTGTGGATTTGGAAAATAAATAGTCGTACTTTACTACTATTATAAAAGGCTTTATTTCCTATAACATACATACTAATTAACTAACCTAACTTAAGCCACCATACTTCTTACTACCACCTACAACTACATGATACTCATTGACATTACTATTATTGTCTGTCATGTCAACCCATGACACTATGGGTGCGTTCCGCTTACTCTTACACCAATATATCTGTGTATACAATATAAATGTATTACATTCTCAACACGCCTCCTTACATTTACATTGTATTTACATTAATTCAAATTTAACATACTTCGAAATTTTTCAAATTTATCTTGGCCCAAGGACTTCGTAAAAATATCTGCAATATTATCATCAGAATCTACTTTAACCACATTTATAACATTTGCTTTAACATAATCATTTACATAATGATAATGAATTTCAACATGCTTAGAATTTTTTGTAAAATTGCCATAATTAGCTATACTAATTGTACCAGTGTTATCTTCATAAACATCAATTGGCTTTATTATTTCAATATCAAATATTTTCAACAATTCTTTTACAAATATCAATTCACTTACTGCTTCTGACAATGCTACATACTCTGCAAAAGTTGAAGCTTTTGTAACGCTTTTTTGTTTTCTAGATTTCCAATAAATTACATTACCAAACAATCTTATTACAAAACCAGTTGTAGACTTTCTATCTAAATGATCACCTGCCCAATCGGCATCCACATAACAATCAATAATACTTACTTTTTCATTTCTGTTATAAAACAATTTTAAATCTTTAGTTAAGCATAAATATTTCAAAATTCGTACAGCATATTTAAAGTGCGTTTCATTATAGCAATTTTGAAATCTACTCAGATAATTTACGCTGAAACTTATATCAGGCCTTGTTGCCGAACTTATGTATAATAGTGCACCAATTAAATTTTTATATTTAATATTTCTTTCACAATGATCAGATTTATCAATTTTTAAATTTACTTCCATAGGTGTATTATACAGTTTACCTTTTTCTAAATTATATTTTTTTCCTTAATAATTCAATATATTTATTTTGATCCAATCTCATTTCATGTTTACTAGAATCATAATCAACAGTAATACCAAGATATTCTTTAATTTCACCAATATCTTTCATTTTAAATTTTTCTGATAATAAAATTTTAATCCTTTTAATTTCATTTAAATTTCTACCACAAATCAATAAATCATCGACATAAATTAATAAGTAAATAATATCATTTCCAATTTTATAAACGTACAAACAAGGATCAATATTACTTCTTTCAAAAACTAAATTTATCAAAAATGTATCTAGGCACTCATACCATGCCCTTGGACTTTCTTTTAAACCATATAAAGCTTTAACTAATTTACAAACTTTACTTGTTCCATCTTCATAACCCTTAGGTTGTTTAATATAAACTTCAGAAATTACTTTACCATTTAAAAAGGCTGTTTCAACATCCATTTGTTCAATTACTAGGCCCATTTGACAACAATATGACAATAAAATCTTTAATGTTTGCATTTTAGCCACAGGTGAATAAATATCATCAATTTCATCAGTTTGTTGAAAACCTCGTACAACCAATCTAGCTTTATAAGTATTATCAGACTTTTTAGTATAAACCCATTTAACATCCAGAATATTTTTGTTTGTATCATTTTTAACCAATTTCCAAGTTTTACTTTTATTTAAACTATCAATTTCTTTGTCCATAGCTGTTTTCCAATACTTACTTTCATTAGAATTTATCGCCTCCTCAAATGTATGTGGTATATCAGTTCTACACATATTTACAAAAATACTACTATTATATACATAGTAGTCATCAAATTTCTTTGGAGGATTTTTGGCTCTGTGAGATCTAGGTAACTCAGGTTCATTTTTATTCACACTATCATCCATACTTTCATTTGTACTTTCAAAAGTTTCATCTATTGAGTCATTTTCAGAGCTTTCATCAATTTTATCAGGGTAACACTCTTCATTATTATCATTATCTGATTCGTTAAAGTCTAAACCTATACACTTAACGTTTTCTTCAACAATATCCACGTGTCTAGCAACAATGACTCTGCCATTTAATAATACACGATAACCAACATTACTATAACCAATTAAAATTCCCATATCAGCTTTCTTATCCCATTTAGAGATTCTCTTCTGTTCTGGTCTTCGTACAAAAACTTTACTTCCATACAAACGCAAATTAGAAACATCAGGTTTCTGTCCAAAAAATATTTCATATGGAGTTTTCTTTTCAATTGTATCAGATAAAGTACGATTTTTCAAATAAACCGCAGCACAAACTATTTCAGGCCAATATTTTTTATGAATATCTGCTTCAGCCAACAAACATCTTGACATATCCATTATAGTTCGATTAAACCGTTCTGCAGTCCCATTCAATTCATGTACATATGTAGGACAATTATCAATTACTATACCCCTTTCTTTTGCAAATCTGTAGACTTTACTGTTCAAATATTCTTTCCCATTATCACATCTTAAAATCTTTATTTTCTTTCCAGTCAAATTTTCACTTTCATTCGTATATTCATTCAAACAATCACATACTTCTGCTTTTGATTTTATAGCATATACTTTAGAAATCTTACTATAATCATCAATGAAAGAAACAAAATAATTTTCACCTTTAAACCCAGTAGTTCGAAAAGGCCCACAAACATCAGTATGTACAATCTCTAAAATATCTTTAGCTTTTTTTCTACTGTTTAGTACAAACGGAATATTATGCATTTTACTTTCAATACAAATCTTACATTTCATAAATTCAGATTCAAACTCATTAGGAATTCCATTCAACAGCTGATCTTTAGATAAAATATTCAAATATTTAAAATTTACATGACCTAATAAACGATGCCATTTTTCCTTTTGATTCATATTATTCATATCTTTATTTGCAACATTTACATGCAATTCAACTGATTTTAATTTACTTTTCATAATATATAAGCCATTATTTTTTAAAGCAACTGCTGTTATATTACCAAGTTTATCAGAAACTTTTGAAATATTACCTAGAGAAATAATCTTATTATTTTCTGTTATTTTGCTATAACTTATCAAGTTTGATTTCATATCTTTAACATAGAAAACATTTTGCATATCTACTAAACTCTTTTTACCAAAAGCATCAAAGTAACTTAAAACATTTCCAATTTTAGTAGCTTTTACAACCCTATTATCTCCTAAATAAACATTAATGGGATCTTTAAGTAATTTACATTTATCAAATAATTTTTCATCATTAATAATGTGGTCTGTACAACCACTATCTAAAAGCCATTTTATTTCAATACAATTATTTACATTACCTATTTCAGTATTTTGTGCAATAACTGACATATCCTTACCAAGAGCTACTGTTGTAAGCCAAGAAGCACTGTTTCGCTCTTCGTTCTTCTGTCCTTGTCGGTTGAACCGCTGTGCACTTGTTCCATGCGTTCCGCGCTGTCCACGTGAGTGGCCACGTCCTCTGACGTAGCTTCCTCTTCCGGCTTCTTGTCGACCTCGCGTTTCTCTCCACCAGCCTCTACTGCTTGTCGTTTGTCCGCCATTACCCGACGCTTGATTGGCGCCATTTTTGCAATCTCGCTTGAAATGACCAACTTCGCCACACTGGAAGCATGATCGATCCTGTCGACCTTTATTTACCACAAATGTACTGGATTTTCTTCCAAAATCATTGTTTTGATTTTTTAATTCGGACATCATAACCTTAGTTTTTACGTAGTCTGCAGTTTGATCATCTTCTTTTAATGTATCTATTAAATCACCAATATAACTGTACGACTCTGGCAACGTGTTTAACATATAGTTCAATTTTTCCTTTTCAGACACACTAGCACCCGCGCTTTTTAACTCGTTTATAGCTTTTTCGAAGTCACTAAAAAATGTTGCACAGTCTCCATAGTTGTTCAATTTTAATCTTTCCAAGTTATTTCTACATACTATCTGCAATGCCGTTGATTCTTTCAAATATAAATTATCAAATTTCTTTATCATCTCATACGCCGTAGTTTTTTCGTCGATGTACTCCATCTGTCGATCCGATATTGCACCGCATATATAATTCATTGCTTTTACATCATCGTCATCCCAATTTGTATCATCATTTTCATTTTTCGGTCTGGTTACCACAACATCACACTTCTTCATTTTCAAAAATAGCATAAGACGTTTTTTCCACATTTTATAATTCTCCCCATCGAATATAGGTATTCTAAAATCACTACTACCTGCCATCATGTGTCACACTTTTTTTTTTTCAAACTGCACCAAACTTTTTCTGTTGTAAAAGGTACGACTTTCCAACCACGGACCTCTGCTACCATGTTAAGGTGTGGATTTGGAAAATAAATAGTCGTACTTTACTACTATTATAAAAGGCTTTATTTCCTATAACATACATACTAATTAACTAACCTAACTTAAGCCACCATACTTCTTACTACCACCTACAACTACATGATACTCATTGACATTACTATTATTGTCTGTCATGTCAACCCATGACACTATGGGTGCGTTCCGCTTACTCTTACACCAATATATCTGTGTATACAATATAAATGTATTACATTCTCAACAGTAGTCTTAAATGTAAAGAAGTAACGAAGAAATATGGTAACAAGGACTAAAAATGTTACGTTTACTGTGATTACTAACAGAAGGGCATACCAGGAAGAAATAGATAGAAACCTTCAAAATGATGTGCAAGATGACACCGATATTGAACAACTTGGAAGGCACAGAAGAACTGTCAAGTTAAGCAAAGAAGGAAAAATGAAAAACTTACAGAAGGCACAAGGAACCTAATGCAAAAAAGAAGGAAAATGAAAGATAAGCACAGAGTGAACATCACAGAGTTAAGGAATTTAAATAAAACCATTTCAAAAGCTGTTAGGAAAGACATAAGGGATTTTAATACTAAAGAAATAACTAATACCATAGAACAAAATAAAAGCCTTAATGTTCTAAAATGAAAGTTGAAGACAGGAACCAGGAGCAGTTATAAGCTAAAAAATAGACAAGGACATGCTGTATGTGAACAACAGGAAATTATGAAAATTATCAAAGAGTACTATAGAACATTATATCGTCGAGATGCTCACATTCCAGAGGTGGAAATCCCAGCCATACAAAATAAATAATTGATAAATAATTTATTTACTTACAGACTATTTACTTATTACTCTGTGTCTACAGTAGATTTGAAACATGCAATGTAACAATAAAAACAGGTGTGTGTTTGTCGAAATGGTCGTAATAGAGCTGTTTCAATTTTTTTACAACATTGTTTTCACTATAAACAATTTTTTACTACTTTTATTTAATCCATTAACTTACTGTACGTCCGTATTTACTGTACGTCCGTTTTTACTGTACGTCCATATTTAATGTACGTCCGTATTTACTGTACGTCGATATTTACTTAACGCCCAACTTACTGTAGAGATATTATTAAAAAAAATTATTTTATTATATTTTTATACATTTGTTTTGTTTCTTTCTTGTAGGTAGACCCGATTGTAAATTTGACAATCTTACAGTAGCTGGTAAGACATTCCCAGGATCATATATTTATACAAGAAACACATATTGTGGCGACAATTCGCCAGAGTCGGTTAGGATGAGAGGGACAGTTATTCTGACATTTATGACAGATAGGTGGGTTACAAAGAGAGGATTCAAAATAGAATACAGAGATGATAGTAAGTATATTACAATTATTTTAAACATTATCTTACTATGTTTATTTTGACGTAAGTTTGAAAACAAAACAAGTTTTACAAGTGTGACGCTGATAGTAAATAATGTGTTCTGTTAGGTTGCGGCGAAACAATTACGGAAGAAACTGTTATAGAAAAGAAACCAACAAAACAATTGGAAGGCGGGTCATACCGCTATTATCAGCCCAAAATTAAATGTATATGGAATATAACTGCACCAGCTAATCAAATTGTTATTTTAAAGTAAGTATTAAGCATTTATGGACATATTATACATACAGGGTGGTGAATCGTCAAACGGGCCATAGGAAACTCAATGAGAAATTCTAAATTGTTGAATTCCTGCTTCCCTAATTATTTTACACCAAAAGTTATGGGAAACTATTTGTAGAGGACTCAAATATGTATCGAAAACAATTATTAAAATTGTTCTACGACTTAAACGTATTCCACAGTTTTGATAAAATATAATACATTTTTCAGGCCACCCCTAAAAGTCAGGCCAGACGCCGTGAAAAGAATGTGTATTACGTGTTGCGACAATATTTAAATCAACTATACTATATTTATCTATGATTTAAATGGCCAAAATTTTGTGATTTATTATTTAAAAGAAAAATTAAGTTGATTAAAAAATGTACTCAGTTAAGGAGAAAAGAGCAATAATAAAAATGTTTTATTCATGTTTTATTATAACATTTGTTATAGTTTTATGTTGGAATTCATTGAATTGTTGTATAACTTAACTTAACATGGAATTAAATTTTAGTCTATTAAAATATCTTACGTTAAATAAAGATCCGGTAGTGACAGGAAAAGGTTCGCGCTATTGCCTGAATACATTATGCGATTTTTCGTCAACTGAGTAAATTTCATTATGTTGATCGATTTGTAAACAATATAATTTATTATTCACAAAGTAATATTGTTCAGTAGTAGTAGTATTTAGTAAAATTCATTGTTTATAATTTAATCATAGAATAAAAAAAATTGACAATTCAAATTGTCAAACATCTGACATCAATATTATAAAACACACACGTTATAATATATTCTTGTATTACATGTGGCCTAACTTTTAGGGGTGGTCTGAAAAATCTATTATATTTTTACAAAATTTTGAAGTACATTTAATTCGTAAAACGGTTTTAACATTTGTTTTTAATTTAGAATTTAGTCCTCTACAAATAGTTTTTTATGATCTTTTGATCTAAAATAATTAAGGAAGCAGCAATTCAACAATTTAAAATTTCCCATTGAGTTTCCTATGGCCCGTTTGACGATTCACCACCCGCCGGTATATATATATATATTATATATATATATATATATATATATATATATATATATATATAATATATATATATATATATATATATATATATATATATATATTTCATCCCTTTCTTCGTCTGGCTTATTTTCTGTGAGTGCATGGGCATTAACTACTGAATATTTGAAAAATATTCCTCCATATTTTCTTCACAGTGGCATATATTGCTATCACATTTAAAGGCTTGACATTTAATTTAATTTGGACTTAAATCTAGGAGTAATGAAATATACTACATATAATTGCTTAGTTCTACTTTGCTAACTCAAATTGAAATCTTTTTGAAGGATAACAAAATTGGGAATGTTCACTAGTACCATGTGTTATGGTCAAAATGTAGAAATCTTTAATGATTTAAACATGGATCGCTCGCATCGTTTGGCCCAGTTATGCGGTAGTATAAATGAAACTTTCCCCATTCCATCGGAGACTGGAAAAATGGTTGTGAAGTTAGAAACTTTACCCATGTCTTTTGGAGGATTTATAGCTCAAGTACAGTTTGCTCATGGTAAGTATTTTTATTATAATTTTAATTAAAACTAGTTTAGATAACTAATAAATAATTTTTTTAGTCGTAATATGAATTTCTATTAGCACAGTTCATAAGCACTATCATTTCCCATTTTGTGTAAATTCCCATTTCCCAAATTGTGTATTATAAATTGTAAAAACGCATCAAGAAATAACCAATTTGAGTTTTATTCATTTCCAAATTATAAGAAAAATTTAATGCAAAGAAAAAAATGGATTTCTAATAAAAATTACAGTAATTATTGTATTAAATAAACAAGTTTAGGTATTTGAATTGCAGTTTACTTGCGAATAATACATTACAAGCGCTAATAGTTTCATTGATCCATCCTTCATCCCCATAGTTCTCATTTCTAGTCTGACGTGATAAAACCGTTGTCATATCAAACCAAACAACCTTTGCATTATAAGAGCAACCAAGCAAACTATTATTAAAATATGCCTAGCTGTTCTTGTCATATTTATATGTACAAGTTTTATATTTTAAGAATACACAATTAAAAATTATTTATTGCTAATTTACAATCTACTTCAATACAGTAATAAGTAAATATAATGTGTGTTCTTGGTGTTTAGACATAAATTTTATTTTGTTAAGCTTAGGTACTTGTGTAGTAAAAGACAAGGCAAGCCTGTCATGATTGATGTAACGGCTGTCAAATGATAATTTCGCTCTCTTGTCATGCAGCAATAAATAGGTAAACACGTCTCCCTAATTAATTAAAGTTTTTTATATTTGTAATAATAAATGGTACAAGCAGGAATATGGTAAATCATCAATGATTAGCCAGAAGTTCATACATATTTAGTTTTTGGTCCTTCGAGCCGGATGGAATGAATATCTGAAGTAAAAACAGCGAAAATTGTCAAATAAAAATAAAAGGTTAAACACGACATTCAGTGCCAGCCCAGCCGATGTCAGTTTGAAAGGTTTATAAGGTTTATATATTATATATTTATAACGTTACGACATTCAGTGCAGAAGCCGATGTCAATTTGAAAAGGTTAAGGTTACGACATTCAGTGCCAAGGAAGCCAATGTTGATTTGAGGTTATAAAACCATATAAGGTAAGTGACTTTGGTTCATTGTATTTTTCATCTGTGCAACAATGGCTGAGCAAGAGTTAAAGAGTTTAAAATCAAAAAGGGGAGTAGTTAAAGGGAAACTTACAAGGTTTAAGAATTATTTTGATAATATTGATAAGGATTATGTGTCTAAAAAGTTAATCACAGAACTAGAGTTAAGGTTAAGCAAGATTTCACCCTTGTATGAAGATTTTCATGAGATTCAAGAAAAAATTGATGAAATAGAGCAGAGTAATGATGATATAAATGAAATTAACACTTTTGAGACTTCCTATTTCGAACTTGTTAGTGATATGCAAACACTTTGCGATAATTTTAAAATAGAAAATAATACTGAGAATGCATCAGTTCATAGTGATTCAAATCAAGGGATTAATAGTAATAGTTTTCAGGCCTTGGTTAAGTTACCACCTATAAAACTGCCTAGTTTTAATGGCCATTATGACTCATGGCTCGAATATAAAGATTGTTTTTTGGCATTGGTTCATAATAATGAATCTTTAACAGATATTCAGAGATTTTATTATTTAAGATCTTCTCTTGAAATGGATCCTCAGCAAATAATAAAATCTATAGAGGTTTCGTCAACAAATTATAAAATAGCTTGGCAGATGTTGACAGAGCGTTATGAGAATAAAAAACTTATTATTCACAACCATTTAAAAGCAATTTTTGATCATCCTAGTATTAATAACGAGTCTTATGTTGAACTAAGAAATTTATTTGATAATGTCACTAAACATTTACGGTCATTAAATAGTTTAGGCTTAGATACAACAAGTTGGGATAGTATAATAATATTTATAATGTGTTCTAAATTTGATGCTACCACCAGAAGGGAATGGGAATGTTTTAAACATGAAAATGATTTACCCAGTATGGGCGATTTAAATAGATTTTTAAAAGAGAAATGTGAAATGTTGGAGATGCTTCAAGTATCTTCCGGTTATACAAATAATAAAGCAAAGGTTCGCAATGTAAGTTCTCGAAGTTTTGCTTCTATTGAAGGATATTCCAATGTCAAATGTTACTTTTGTCAAAAAGATCATCCCATATATAAGTGCGATGTATTTCTAAAATTAAATGTAAATGACAGAATCTCGGCTGCTAAAAGATTAAAGTTGTGTTTAAATTGTTTAAGGAATTCACATCCAACATGGAAATGCAAGCTACAAAAATGTATAAAATGTCAAAAGTTGCATAATTCATTATTGCATTTAAATCATCACATCACAAATAATGTTTCTAGAAATATGGCTACTACTGATTCAATTGATCCGAATCAACATAAAATAGAATCTAATCAAAACATCGAGAACTGTATTGAACGCTCAGACAGCGGTCAGCGTCATCTAAGTTCTGCTCTTCACGTTTCCAACCGCCTTGTCAGCTCTCATGAGATTTCTGAGGTTTTATTATCGACGGTCTTAATTCGCATTGTAAATGGAAATAAATCAATTGTTTGCCGTGGATTACTGGACAGCGGTTCTCAAAGTAATTTTGTTAGTGAGAAAATTTGTAAATTTTTAGATTTAAAATTTCGAAGAGTAGAACATTTGGTCAAGGGTGTTGGAGAGGCGCTAGCAAAAATTAATAATGAAGCTATTGTCACGCTAAGTTCTTGCGAAGGAGATTTTAGTATGGAGACTCATTGTTTGGTTATTCCCAATATTACGGGAAAGTTACCGATTAGGTCTTTTAATAAAAATGATTTAAAAATTCCCTTAGGTTTAAAGTTGGCAGATCCAGATTTTAATGTGTCTAATGATATAGATTTATTGCTAGGATCGAGTATATTTTGGTCTGTTTTGTTATCAGGTAGAAAAACTTTGGGTCCAAATATGCCAATTTTGCAAAATACAGAATTTGGTTGGATAATTGCTGGGAATTTATATCTTAATTCGTTAGAGCCTAAAAATTCTCTTACATTTTTTAATGTGAATACTTATACTAATAATGATTCAATAAATAATCAAGTAATAAAGTTCTGGGAAGTTGAAGAATTGGGTTCGCAAAAGAAAATATATTCAAACGAAGAAATGTTTTGCGAAAATTATTTTAAGGAAACTGTTAAAAAGGATTCTTCAGGAAGATATATAGTTAAAATCCCATTTAAGAATACAATAAATGAATTAGGGGATTCTAAAACTATGGCATTGCATAGATTTGACTTATTGGAAAAACGTTTAAACAAAAATACAGATTTGAAAAATATGTATGTTAATTTTATGAATGAGTATATAGAATTAGGCCATATGTCTGAAACGGATTTTAACAATGATAACGGATATTTTTTACCGCATCATGCTGTGGTAAAACAGTCTAGTTTGACGACTAAATGTCGAGTAGTCTTTGATGGTTCTGCAAAATCAAGTTCAGGTCTGTCTATAAATGATGTGCAGTATATAGGTCCATCTCTTCAACAAGATATATTTTTAATTCTCCTAAGGTTTCGTCTACACAAGTATGTAATAAGCAGTGATATCTCAAAAATGTATCGTCAAGTTATGGTAGACGAAGATGATTGTCAATTTCAAAAAATTATTTGGCGTGCAGACTCACAGGAGGATTTAAAATGTTATAAGTTAAATACTGTTACATACGGTACCGCATCTGCGCCGTATCTGGCTGTTAAAAGTTTGATACAAGCTGCTGAAGATAATAAGCATGATTATCCATTAGCATCAAATATAATTAAGCGAGACTTCTATATGGACGATTTGCTTAGTTCCTCAGATTCAAAAGAGGAAATAATAAAGATACAAAAGGATGTTTCGAAAATTTTGAGTGATTCGGGGTTTGAGTTACGAAAATGGCTTTGCAATGATCCAAATATAGTTAAAGATTTTAACATTAATAATGATTTAGATGTTGCTGTACTCCCATTAGGTGAGCAAAACAAAATGTTAGGGATCTATTGGGATCCACAGAACGATTTTATACGGTATAAAATAAATATTGATTATTCTATTGAACCAGGTCAATGGAATAAACGTAGTATTCTGTCGGTAATTTGTCAGATATACGATCCATTGGGACTATTAGGTCCGATTGTAATAAATGCAAAGCTAATCATGCAAGATTTATGGAAAAGAAAATTTGGATGGGACCAAGAGTTACCGCCAGACTTTATTAAAATTTGGTTAGAATTTTACAGTAACTTAAATTCTTTGAATGCATTAAAAATACCACGTCATGCTAGTATATCAGGTTATATTAATATTGAATTACATGGTTTCAGTGACGCATCTACACGGGCTTATGGTTGTTGTATATATATAAGATGTTTAATGTCATCTGGATCTTACATATGTAATTTGTTATGTGCGAAATCACGGGTTGCACCATTGAAATTGTTAAGTCTTCCTAGATTGGAACTTTGTGCGACAGTTTTACTAGCTAATTTATTGAAAAGGGTTTCGGATTTTATATATATTCCAGTTAATGGTATTTATTGTTGGACTGACTCCACAATTTGTTTGAGTTGGATTAAAGGTGATCCTAGTAAATGGAAACAATTTGTTGCCAATCGAGTGCAAGAGATACAAAATTTGACTAGTATGAATTCCTGGAACCATGTTCGTTCAGAACACAATCCAGCTGATTTGTTGTCACGAGGATTCTCGGCAGACAATTTAAGGAATAATAACTTGTGGTGGTCTGGACCAGAATGGCTTCTTGAAGATAGTAAAGAATGGAATATTTTAAATCCTGAACCGTGCCAGAATGTACCGGAAGCAAAGGTTGTTTCTTGTATTGCTGTAAATAACTTTAATTTGGTTAACTATTTGTTAGAGCGTTTTTCTTCATTGAACAAATTTTTAAGGATTTTAGCATATATTTTACGATTTTCTAATAATTGTAAAGTTGAACTATCGAAGAGAAGGACTGGTATACTGACACCAGAAGAGATTGAAGCAGCTCTAACATTAGCAATCAATTCTGTTCAACAGGAATGTTTTCCCTTAGAATACAAGAATTTAATTAATAATAAAGAAATACCAAATAAAAGTAAAATCATAACATTTAATCCTTTTATTCATGAAAGGTTACTAAAGGTTGGTGGACGTTTAAGAAATAGTAATATTCCGTTTAACAGCAAACACCAAATTATTTTACCAAATAATCATGTTTTAACAAAAAGAATTCTATTAAATGAACATGAACGATTGCTTCATTGTGGTGTTCAACAATTAATTTTTTCATTAAGGCAAAAATATTGGCCTATTTCAGCTCGTAGCTGCTGTAAATATGTAATAAATAAATGTATAGCTTGTTTTAAAACTAAGCCAAAACCTTTAAATTATTTAATGGGTGATTTGCCCCAGAATAGGGTAAATAGTTTTTCAGTTTTTCAAAATGTAGGTACTGACTATGGTGGTCCGTTCCTTATCAAGGATCGAAAAACTAGAGGTGCTAAATTAATCAAGGCTTATATTTGCATTTTTATTTGTATGTGTACTAAGGCTGTACACATTGAGTTAGTGTCAGACCTTACCACTGATGCGTTTTTAGCGAGTTTCAAAAGATTTATTAGTAGAAGAGGAAGACCTTCTAATATTTACTCTGATAATGGTTCAAATTATATAGGCGCAAACAAGGAAATAAATGCTGTTTATGAGTTTTTAGAAAATTCATCTGACTCCATTTCTCAAAGTCTATTACATGAAAAAATAAAATGGCATTTTATACCTGCAAATTCTCCTACGTTTGGGGGTTTATGGGAAGCGGGAATAAAAAGTATCAAGTCTCATTTAAAAAGAGTAATGGGTTGTCGGTCTATGACTTTTGAAGAATTTAGTACATTGTTGCATCAGGTGGAAGGTATATTGAATTCTAGGCCACTTTGTCCTATTTCCGGCGATCCTGATGATAGCACTGCCTTAACGCCAGCACACTTTATAATTGGACGTACTTTAACTATGTTGCCAGAGTGTGATATTACTCATGTTCCTGAGAACCGTCTTGATAAATGGCAATCTATACAAGTAATGGTTCAACAGCTGTGGTCGAGATGGCAACTGGAATACTTGAACGAGCTACAAATGCGCCAGAAATGGAAATATAATTGCCACCAAATGTTAAAGCTAGGTTCTTTGGTGCTGATTAAAGACGACAGGACTCCTCCACTTCAATGGCCTCTTGGACGAGTGACAGAAATGCATCCAGGTCCAGATGGAGTTACTAGAGTTGTAACTGTTAAAGTGCGTGGTAGTGAAACAAAAAGAGCACTCAATCGTATATGTGTTTTGCCAATAGACTGTTAATTTTAGTTGTTCAATTCATAATGTTTTGTATGTTAATTTCAATTTAAGTAATGAGAATTGACAATTTTTAACTGTATTGTTAACCATTTCTTTTAATTCATTAATCATTGTTTTTATTTTGTTAGTTCTGTAGGTTTTGAAAGAAACTGCGTCCTTTCAAGGGGGCCGACATGTTTAGACATAAATTTTATTTTGTTAAGCTTAGGTACTTGTGTAGTAAAAGACAAGGCAAGCCTGTCATGATTGATGTAACGGCTGTCAAATGATAATTTCGCTCTCTTGTCATGCAGCAATAAATAGGTAAACACGTCTCCCTAATTAATTAAAGTTTTTTATATTTGTAATAATAAATGGTACAAGCAGGAATATGGTAAATCATCAATGATTAGCCAGAAGTTCATACACTTGGCTTGTGGCAGGTGTCGTCCATTGACGACTCTCTGGAATTTACCTAGCAGCTAGGTCTTCTGACCAAAGTCTTTTTAGGCGTCTGTCAACCAGTGGGGGGTTGAATAATTCGTCTATGAGATGGTTTGGATGGTCTGCGTTGCGATTCATGTATATTCTGGAGTGGCCAGCAATCACATCATTGATGAAGAGGATGTTGAGGTCTGCATGAAACGTTTAGTTTGACACATGTGGCTTTAGCTAACATACGAATAGTTTTTGACTGGAATGTTAGTATTTTGGTGTTGGAGGGTTTGCTACAGCCCCACAGCTCAATTCCGTATGTCCACACTGGTTTGAGTATTGTTATATAGATGGGCAGTTTGTTTTCCAATGAAAGTTGCGATCATCTGTTGATTAGCCCACTCATATTTTTAACTTTTAAATAGAGGTGTCATCTATCTACATATTTTGGCTGCAATATGTGATTTCCAACTAAGTTTTTCGTCTAGATGAAGATCCAGGTACTTTACTTCTGTTTTTATTGGTATAGGTGCATTATTTAGGTGTAGTTGCGGACATCTACTTCTTCGATTTGTGAAATTTACTTGACAAGACTTATTTGTGTTGACGTTTATTTTCCAGTATTTAAACCAGTCTTCTAGTTCATTAAGATGATTTTGCAATTTGTTAAATGCTAATATTTCGTTGATGTCTGACGCTAGTATACCAGTGTCATCCGCAAATGTTGCCATTAGTGTATTTTAGCTAATAGCAATATCAGCAGTGAAGATTTGGTAAAGGAATGGGCCAAGCCGGATTTTATTTGGTGATCTGTATGAAGTATCTTAAATCATACTGACAAGTATGATTTAAGGAAAAGGTAGATTTGGTCAGTTAGCTGAGTTTTTATTTTAAAGAGAAGCCCCTCGTGCTACACTCTATCAAATGCTTGCTGTATATCGAGGAATGCTGAGAGACAGATTTGTTTCCCTTCTAGGTTCTCTTTTATTTTGTTGCTAATCTATGACACTGTTGTATGGTTGAGTGATTTGAGCGAATACCAAACTGATGATCTGGGATAAGGTTTACTACAGGTATTATTGTTTCTTATCTGTTAAGGATTAACCTTTCGAAGACTTTTGATAAAGTCGGAAGGAGACTTATTGGTCTGTACGAACTGGCTTCAGTTAGAGGTTTACCAGGTTTAGGTATCGTTATAATTTGTGCATACTTCCATTGCACTGGAAAATAGCAGGGTCTCAGGAGGCTATTTAAAATAATGGTTATTCAGACGACACCTTTTCTTGGAAGTTTTTTTAAGAATTCGCCAGTTATAAGGTCAAATCCTGGAGCTTTATGAGGATTAAGCAGGTTGATTTTGTTACGGACTTCGTTGGGTGAGAAATATTTTAGTGGTAATGATAGCTGACAGGGTGCATTAAGGAAGTCTCTAATTTTCTCGTCGTTAATATCGTTGGCCTGTGTGGAGTGGAGAACATAGAGGATGATCTAAAATCCAACGGAGTTAAAGCATGGAGAAGAGTTGCCAAATACAGGTGCGAATGGAAGATTGTTCTGAAGAAGTCTTTGGCTCATGACGAGCTGTAATGCCACTGATGATGATGTGGGGTGGAAAAGACGGTTGATAGATGTTCTGCAAATCTGTTGGATTTTTCTATATCTAATCGAGCCCAGGTTCCATCATTTTTCCTAATTTGTGATTTCATTACTACCAGCTTTTTGAATTACTTTGTGGCTTTCTAAAGAGAGTTGTTTTCAAGAGAAAGAATTGTGACGTATCTTTCAAAGGATTCGTTTTTGGTTGTTTGGATAGCGGAATGAAGTCTGTGTATAGTCCAAACATACTTGAGCCACTCTTAGCATTTTCGTTTGAACATCCATAACCGTAAACACTTTTCTTTTTTTTAGGTCCTGCCGAGGGATGTGGCGGTCTTATCAACTTGACAGACTCCAAGGTCATTGAGTCACCGAACTTGCCTAAAATGGACTGTGTATGGAGGATCGTAGCGCCAAGGGACCATCAAATTGAAATTAAAATAAATCATTTTAACAATGTTGCAAGTTGTGGAAATAATAAAACTCGGAATGTGATGGGATGTGGTGACTGTAATATGCTGGAGGTAAAATATTATTTAATATAAATGTAGATGTAGAATGTATTGTAGAATGAATAAAGACGCTGAACAAAAGCTAGAGACAAATCTACGAATTAAACTATAAAATCAATATATCAAGTAAAAATGAAGATGTCTAAAAGCCATAAAAAATATCAAAATAGAAAATACAAATAAATAAATAGATAAAGTTGTCCCAATGCAAACTTCAATTATTATCTATTATTGTAATAATTTAACTATATTTTGTAGATTCGAGATGGCGCTAGTCCATTCTCTGAAAAAATAGAAACTCTTTGCGGGAATATTAATGAAGCTGATAATAGACCAGCAATACGTACTTCAGGAAGTTTTGGTTATATCAGAATTGGGATGTATGGACAAACGAGAGATGCTTTCAAAGTTACGCTGACATCTGCGATGTGTAAGTTTTTTTTCTATTATAGATTGGTATGTTATTCATAGAAAGTTCACTTAATGTCGGCTACTGCATTGTTTAACACAATCTTGTTAATCACTGATCTGAACAGGATGCTAGTTGTTATTCCAGATCTATCTAATTAGCCTTCTTTGATCCATCTTTGGACATAGATCTCCCCAATCATTTTCCGTTCTTCTCTGTCTGTCGCTACAGTCATCCACCTAGAGCCCACGTGCTTCTTGATATCATCTGCCCATCTCATTTGGGGCCTTCCTCTGCTTCGTTTATATTCCCACTGTCTCCAAATTATAAGAATTTTGTTCCATCGGTCTTGGTGCTGTCTTATATTGTGTCCGGCCAATCTCCATTTCAATTTTGCAACTTCTTGTCTAACATCCTCACTTTTGTTTTTCTTTTATTCACTCGTTTCTCTTTTTATCCATTAGTCTTATGTGCAACATTTGTCTTTCCATTGCTCTTTGGGTTTTTATGATTTTGTCTATGTTTGCTTTTGTAAGTGTCTAGTTTTGGGAATAATAAGTGAGAACAGGGAATACGCATTGATTGTATAGGTACTTTGGTCTTAAGATTCTGTGGATATCTTTTTTTTAATGTAGATTAGCTTGCCAGATGCCGTCCATGCCAGTCTAACCAAGTGTACTAGTTTAAGACGATTTTTATGTTCTTCCATAACCTTTGATATATCTTCACAAAATAGTTCCATATCTTCGTCATATTTTATATATGATATTTAAATATTAATGATTTTAGCAATTTGTGGTGAGTCCGTATTAATAGCCACTACTGACGTGAAAACTCTAACATCTCCAGGATTTGATGAGGGCCATTATCCATCTTACATTAAATGCAGCTACGCTATATCCACTGGAAGTATATATGATAAAATCGTCCTTCACTTTGACGAGTTTGATATTACCGATGAGATAGTTGTAACCGAAGAAACCAGGGACTGTATTGGAGACTATATTCAAATTTACGAAGATCCAAATCTTGGCGTTAACAATGGTTTGGGTTCAAGTGTGGTGTATAATGGTGCTAATACACATGCAAATCTGGTAAGTTTCTTTTTTCTTATATATCCAAAACAGGTCCTACATAATCAACATCATGTTTGATTGGTGCAACTTTACTCAAGACTTTATTTAGATCGAAAGGAACCAAGCCACAAGCCTCGAACCCATTCTTCAAAACTTTCTTAATTGCACTTTCTTCACAGTCTCCAAGCATTTTTTTAATAACGACGGAAATTGATCTTTAGGTACACCAGTAATCTTTGGGTGTCGCAATTTAAATTCCGTCAAAATCTTTCGCCAAGAAACTTTTATGGGTTTAAAAAAGGATACATCCAAAGGCTGGCATATGTGTGTTGAATTACTGGGAAGGCACGCAAATTCAATATTGTGCAATTCACACAGTTGTAATACACGATCTGAAAAGTGAGACGCCAAGTTTTTTACCTTCCAACCGTCTTGCGTGTGGTAATAATATAGTATCAAATCAGTCTGTAAAACAAGTTACCTCCATCCACCCAATTTTTGTTCGGTTATATCTAGCTCCTCTTGCGCAACATCCACTACAACAAGGAGAGCCCTATGATATATTATATAAGAAGGGAGTAGTGTGCCATCAGCAACACCGCACCATTATTGATATGGCGACTTTACTATGATCAGTGATTTGCTCTGGGTATTTGGTTCCTCTTCTATATAGCAATCTTATTTTTCTCGTATCATCACTAACGTTGGTTTCATCGTAATTGAAAATATGAGATGGAAGGCAATTTAAGGGAGTTGTTCTTAAACTATTGAAATATGATTCTATCGTTTCTTTTGTGACACCTGCCCGAGCTCTAGTAATGTTAGATGCAAGTCGTTTAGAGATTTGCTGACTATGCCTCTCTAAAAAAAATGGGTTACCCAGTCATTACCAGGACTTACCCCGTTTTTAAATTTAAAAATAATTCTTCCAGATCTTTCTAAATACTCTTTAAACAGTGCATTTATAAGAGTGTACTTTTGATATTCGCCACAAACGCCTTCCGCTACAGTTAATCAACATGTGCACTGAAATTAAGTTCAGAAAACCACCATAACGGATGAAACATTTGGGTTGCATACTCTCTTGAAACAAAATATTCATTCATCAAAGTCACCTTATAGAATCATTTGTATTATAATTAAAAAAATAACAATATATAAAAAAGAAGCAGTGATGGATAGAAAAGAAAATGGAGAAAATGAAGCAAATACTGAACAAGATAGTCTTACCGGGGTGCTATACATATGTATAATACATATCTATAGATATATGTATAAGAAAATATGGAAAGAATCATCGGCTAATATTCCGAAAAAGAAGTAAATAAATATTTTATGGCATCGTATAAAGAAGAGAAAGATGAGCAAAGTACATCGACATTATCAAGAAATCAAGGAAAAGGACGAAAAATGCAAAGAAAATGCACAAAAGTAACTTTTTCAGGTGACACTTCGTGAGCGTGATATTTTCTGCAATTTTTAAGGCAATAACAACGCTCAAAATTTTTAACAATATTATAAACTGACTGTACGCAATGAATTGGTCTCCCCTCAAAAAACACAAAATAAATCTACATACTGTTGTCCAGAATTACTACCATAAAACCATTTTATTATTTTTTGTTTACAAAAATAATGGAGGTTCGTGGAAAGTCGACGGCGTGCAGTGTTGCCATTTATAGTATGTATCTCTAATTTAAAACTTGACGTAAATAATATAAACTTCTTTGTGTGATTTTTAAGTGTTCGGTGAGAATATCTGGATTTTGTGTTTAATTTGCATTTATAAATTTCAGATGTACACTGATGTTAAGGGACGGCATCTATTTTGTGGAAAAGACGAAAAACCATTCGATTACTATACATCCGGAAGGTCCGTGACTGTATCATTGGTTAGCAAAGACAAAACACCAAAAGGAAAAGGTTTCAAATTAGAATATTCACGATCAGGTAACTATAACGGTTTTAGTTGTAGAAAACATTTAAAAAATATTATAAGTACTTCGAAGATATTTTTTATAAAAAGTTTGCCATTTATTTCTTCAAAAACTTGCTGAATGAGGTAAGTTTTTTTTGGAATGAGGTGGAAAGGTTCGAAACCGATTAGGGAAGGCCTCCCTAGTACTGTTGGATTCAATAAGGCAGGACCACAGTAATGATTCAGTATTCGATGCATTTTTTCCCTTGGGTTATTCGGTTTTGTACATCTATCTTAACTCTGCCATCTGCTGATATGATGCTTCCTAGATATTTATACTGGTTGCAGCCTTTTATGACTGCGTTTTCAAGCCTCAGATCTGTGGTATTTCCCTCCAATTTTTAAAATATTCTGTTTTGCTTATGTTTACAGTAAGCCCCCATTTGGCATATTCCTCAAATAATTTTCGATTATAATTTAATATCGTTCCTCATCGGTTGCAACCACACCTGATCATCTGCAAACAACAATGTATACAGAGTTTCTTGTCCCACTTCGATGCCCATAAATCTACATTTATTTCTCCAATTCCTCAATGCTTCTTGGACGTATATTTTAAAGAGTGTCCGGTGACAAACAGCATCCTTGCTTTAGGCCTTTAGTGACTTTTAAATTCATTTGAGGTTCTGGTTCCAATTTTTAACACAACTAACTGCATTTTCGTATAATTTATATATCGCTCGGATATACGTCGAATCCAATCCGGACCTTTATGAGGACCTCAAAACTTTTTCTTTTAAACGGGACACTATCATATGCTTTCTCAAGGTCTATAAATACCAAATGGGTCTCTCTTACTTCTTTCGACACGCTTTTTAATTATTTTGTCGTAGGATTAAATATATTATCAATGGCAGGATCTCCCGGTACGAAAGCCGCTTTGTTCTTCAATATCTTGTATCTGTCTTTCAATCCCTCTTCTTTAATATTCTGCAATCGGCAATCGGGTACAACCGGCCCACAGAGCTCGTGACACTAATACCTCTATAATTGGAACTGTCTCTTTTATTCCCTCTCTTATATATGGAGCTTTATATAAGATTTATTCCAATCTTTAGGAATTTCCTGGTCTCCACACATACTTTTATTGAAAAGGTCTACTATTAATTCTAAAAGTTGCAGTCGGCCCATATTTTAACCAGCTCTATGGGAATGTCTCCATCGTGTTTTAACCTCTTTTTAACCTCAGATAATGTTTATTATAAGGGATTTCCTGTCTTTCGTCTCTGTTGTCTAATTAATTCCCTTATCTTTTCCCATCTGTAACTCTACTCTATCCTCTTTCAGCAGTTTCGTATAATATTCTTCCCATTCATTAAACTTTATGAGAGAAATGTTGTCCTTCATTTTTCTCATTTTTCCTAAAATGTTTTTTAATGTTTTCCAAGCTTGCGCCACTTTTGTTCCACCCATAAATCTGTCCAGTTCATCACACTTACGCCTCCCAGTTTATATATTTCGACTAATAATTATATTTTTTTACTATTTTAAAATAAAAGGTCGTAGGCAAAAAGTTAGTATTCTATTCGCATGTAATGGCTATTTACTCACTCTGATGAATTATGAAACTCGACTTTCGCTAGTGTCACAACTTCATCTATCGTGAGTAATAGCCATCATTAAATGCCCGTGTTTATATTTTTGTGTATTTCATACAAATTTCACCTACATTATTGAATTTTTGTTAGAAAATTTTTGGTGGCACTAATAACTTTTCATAAACAGATAGTGGCACACTGTTAAGAAAGTTTGGCTACTCCTGGTCTATAAGTTGGTCCTTTATTTTTAACTGTACTTGCATATGGGATTGTCTGCTGATTTTATCATTAATTTCGATTTTGTGATGTTATTGTTCAGTCCATTTTCCTCTCCCACTGTATTAATATTATTTACTATTTATTTTACTAGGAAACTATACACTCTCATAATTCTAAAAACCACTACTTTTATATTTTTAGGTTGTAACAGAAACTACACTGAACCTCAAGGAAGAATCACGAATGGAAATAGTAAAGTGGACTGTAAATTCTCGATTATAGTACCAGAGAACAGTACAATCTCAGTATACTTCAATTCATTTTACATGTATTTCACGGCAAACTGTTCGGATAGTGCACTTGAGGTAAGTAAATTGATTATGACTTTTTATTCAGAAACTGTAGTAGGATAACATTTTGCATTCAGAATAACTATAGCGTGTAGTATTAGTGAACCAATCAACCGATGAGAGGAAGATTTTGAAGCATTATAGAATTTCTGTCAAATTCGACAATCTAGGCAAAACAATAACCAGTAAACAGAGTTGAAGAGATGAGAGAAGAAAAAAGAAGATTCTGGTACAGGCAGAAAACAACGAAATACGGGCATAGTTGTAGACATTGAAGACCAAATTTTGACTACCATGGAAGATAAATTACGAAGATGGAAAGAATATATTCAAGAATTATTCGAAGATGAAGCACGAAGTCCGACTGAAATAAACAACCCCTCCGGCCCAGAAATAACAAACGAACAAGTAACTATGGTCATTAAGCGGATAAAAGATGGGAAATCACCAGGACCTGATGAGGTGCATGGTGAAATTTTAAAGCTATTAGAGTCACACCAAATCACAGCTCTTACGAAGCTATTCAACAACATCTACGAGACTGGTTACTTACCAAGGAACTTTGAAAAATAACTTATCTTATTGATAACCATGGTTTTTGTTTTCTTTATGTTTATTGTTAAACCAAACTGTTCTCCAGTATCACAAATTGGGTTTAGTAACGTTTGCAGGTCTGTCTCACTTTCAGCGATAATGACTGTATTGTCAGCATAACGGATGTTATTTATATTTTCACCATTTATCTTGATTTCTTCTATACAGTTTTCAAGTGCTTGCCTAAATAACTCTTCGGAATATATATTAAATACTAATGTTGATATATATATATATATATATATATATATATATATATATATATATATTGTAGTTTTGAGTTTCTTGAACCGTATTATATTTAATATAAAATTAATGTTTCTTGGGTTTAGGTTCAATAAAGATATGTTACATGTGGAACTAGATTTTATTTTCCATTGCAATCAATCAACGTTTCGGCAGGAAACCCTGGCCTTTGTCAAGATTCAAAACGTAAAACGTGACATTCTTGTCTGTGTCATATATAAATATATATATATATATATATATATATATATATATATATTATATATATATATATATTAAATACTAATGAACCAAGGATCCGAACTTCTGCCTACCATAACGATAGAAGAAGTGAAACGAACTCTAAAGGAAATGAAAAACAACAAAGCTCCGGGAGATGACCAAATAGTAATAGAAGCTGTTAAAGTAGGAGGCAAGAAACTGCTGGAAGTAGTAACTGAACTATTCAACCTATGTCTAAACCAATGTATTGTCCCTACAAAATGGAACAATGCAATTACTATCCTAATACACAAAAAAGTAGATATATCAGACCTAGAGAATTATAGACAGATAAGTCTGTTGTCACATCTCTACAAATGGTTTACCAAGATCATCACAAAACGTTTAGAACGAAAATTAGATTTCTATGAGTCTAAGGAGCAAGCTGGGTTTAGGAAAGGTTATGGAACAAATGACCACCTACAAGCACTTAAAATACTAATTGAAAAGTATGTTGAATATAATAAACCACTCACGTTGATTTTCATAGACTTCAATAAAGCTTTTGATACCGTGGAATTACCGGCAGTATTAGGAGCATTAGAACAAAGCCGAGTAGACTATAGATATACAAATTTGATAAAACATATATACAACAACGCAACAGCATCTGTTAAACTCCATGACTTTACCGATAAATATGGAATTGAGCGAGGAATTAGACAGGGCGACACCATCTCCCCCCAACTATTCACTGCAGCTCTGGAATATGCCTTTAAAAAACTAGATAGAACTAGGGCTAAAAGGGGAATAAATATTGATGGTGAATACTTAAGCCACTTGCGCTTTGAAGATGATATTGTCATTATAGCCGAGAGTTTAAATGAAGTTCACAAAATGATGGAAGACCTAAAACAGGCAATAGAATAAATAGGCCTGAACATAAACTTTGAAAAAACAAAATAAATGACAATTTAGTTCCAAGTGATGTTATGAGGGTAGATGGGAACGAAGTACATCAGGTCTTTAGCTATATCTATTTAGGGCATGAAATTAGAATAGGGAAAGACAATCAAACTTGTGAGATCCAGCGTCGCATAGGCTGGGATGGGCAGCATTTGTCAAGATGCGAGATATTCTAAAAGAACGCTACCGATTTGCTTGAAGAAAAAGGTTTACAACCAATGCATACTGCCAGTAATAACATATGGTTCCGAAACAATAACTTTAACCAAACATTCTGCAAATAAATTGAGAGTAACCCAAAGAAAAATGGAAAGAGCAATGTTGGAATAACTAGAAGAGATATGGTACCAAATAGGATAGTGAGAGAGAGGACTAAAATGACAGATGTCATAGAAAAAATTGCGCAAGCCAAATGGAGATGGGCTGGACATATAACACGTTTAAATGATAATAGGTGAACCAAAAGACTCATAGAATGGAGACCTAGAGAAGACAAAAGACACCGAGGCAGACCACCAAAAAGATGGATGGACGACTTGAGAAAAACAGTCGGAAATCGGATACAGAAGGCGCAAGATAGACAACAGTGGAAGAACATGGAGGAGACCTATATCCAACAGTGGATGCAAGAGGTTGAGGAATGATTATGATGATGAATGTTGAAGGTACATAGCCCTGTTTCACTCCTCTACTTATCT